TTTTTTGATATTCTCTCACCAACTGATGCTCAGCTCCACTAATATTCTCTGAATAATCTTTAGTTTTTCCATGTTTCTATGAAATTAGTTGCATTTCGCTATTTTTTAATAAGATATAGGTAAAATAGGAAAAGCAGTGGAAATACAGGACAAAATATAGGTTTTTGCAAAAACATAGGATTTAGAGGAAAAATAGGTCGAATCGCAGGCCAGTATTATTCTCCGCAAGACAATTGCATAAAACGAGATTAAGAACGACATGAAATAAATTCTCATTCGTTTTTCTCTATTACTAGGAAGAACTTGAAGGCTGAGTGTTAATATTTTTTAAAGTTGCAGTTTTATTCATTGAAATTATTCGAAATCAACTTTTCACATGCCATTTTTGATAAAGAAATCTACATTTAGTTAAGATGACAGAACAATTATTCTATTCCTTCACACTTACGAGTTAAAATGCGTTTGATGAGCATATTCTTCCGCATCTGTACAAAAGTTAAATAGACTCACTATCACTTCATATAAACGTATTTCTTGTTCTATTGCCGTGATAAATCGAGCGCACAAACATAAATAGCTAATTCAGTTGTGTAACCATATCTTTAGGCTAATGGGCGACGTTTTTTTGTATCGGAAAAATGATGGACCTAATAAAATACTTATATCATACAAAAAAATAAATAAAGCGTAAAATGGTGTTCTTTTCACCAGATATATATCAAAATCAGATCGTAAGGGTGACTCAGATGTGTCATAATCCATTTTTCAAATCTAATCGGGCAATGTATCTATGTAAAAAACGATCGGAAACCTGACCGTTAGTTATCCATTTTTACTCTCAAATCAATTACAATTCGATCATTTACAGCAGACTGTGATAAGATTTCCTAGTTGTTAATCAAATTCAGTCGATTTCTATTCACAAAAGTTGTTTGAATATAGTTTTTAGTCACTTTTACACAGAACGACACGTAACCTTCAAATAGAAAAAAACGATTAATTAATATCTTATCGAAAAACAGATAAAAAATTTTCAAAAAATAAAATTTCAATCGGCCAAGCTCGAAATGAAATGGGCAATGATCCTATTTGCCCTCTCGCTGGTTATGCTACTGAGCCAATTTACTCAAGTGATCGCACACTGATTGAGTTCATACACAGAATGCAAAGAGACTCAATGACTGTTCTTGTTTTCTTTTTTTTCATACTTCTCCTATCGATATCTCAAGTGTTGATAACGAGCATTGCATGTTCTACTTATCGTATGTTATTTTGATATTGATTGTGATTTGAATGAGCAGTGCTGTTCTCTTACTATAATGCGCGTAGCGTGTCTATAACAATTTTCACGTGTGATGTTCACGGATGCAAGCGTTACTTTCGTTAATTATTATAAGATCAAACAATAAGAGACAAGCATATTTATAGGTCTGACAATGGATTTCGGTTTGTGACAGGCAAATGAATTATTAACTGTTGAATAACGTTTTGTTCTTTGCTACATGCAGCTGTTTCCCTCGAACGACATATCACTTGTCATTTTATTTCGAAATTTCATTGTTGAAATACACAAAGACAATAGCTTTATGCCGAATTCTAATCATGAAGAATATTTCGAACATAATAATTCGCGGGTGTTGCAGATAATCTTCTATGCTTTGAGGAATGTTTCTGTCGTTTACGTTTCAATATTTTGCCTCCATTTAATACCTTTTCATGTTTCATTTTCCTTTGGGTTGTCGTCGTGAGCAAACGTTCATGAGCAGCATTTTGATAACTTCCAACAAGCTGTAGTTCCAACGGTTGATTTGACGTTTCTACGATAGGTTCCTGTTTAACATTATTGATTGCATTGGTATGTCGTTCTTCAGCGTCTCGTGATTCGATATACTTCACTTTGGAACAGAGATACTTCAGTAACGTTGATCGAAGCATCTCATATGTTTCACGATTTCCTGAGCATAACAACAGTGCATCATCATCGAGTGTCGATCGATAATCAACTACGAGAATGCTCCGTTGATCCATGATTCTCGCATACAAGTGTTTCACAAGTGATTGACATGGTGCATTGACGAGCAGAAAGTGATAGTTGACATGTGCGCTGAGATTGTTGAGAATGGTGGCATCGAGAGCGTGTTGAAGTGATGCATCGAACTGATCGAAACAAATGAGATAAGTGAGTGAGGTGGCTGATGGATGCTGGTAGTTGGGTAAATGTTCGATGTAGATGAGTGAAGTATGGAAGAAGGCGGAAAGTGAATTGAAAACGAAGGAGATGAAGGACGCGTTGGAGTATGTTTTCGTCGTAACGATATTGATCGAATTCAATTTTGGAACTGTATCTGTTGGTTGAGTTTGAAATGTGTAAGAATCATTATTAGATTGTAATAATGGATTTAAATCTGTGTCAACAGACAACTGGTTAGTGGAGATTAATGGAGGTTGTGTACAACATGAGCAAGAATTATTTGAAGGAAATTGCGTGTTGTGAGGAGGAGCTGATCCATATATAGGAAATGTGTCGGGTGAGTAGTCATTTGTAGGGTAGAGAGTGGAAATTTGTGAAGCTAAATTATACAATTCATGAAAATAGGGCATGGTGACCAAAAAGTGCACTCACTTGTAACAATGGAAGTGGATACTGGAATGGAGTTCTCATTCACATCAGCATAATTAATAGCATTTAAAAATTGATATTTCAATTGTGGAGAAGAATCGTAATGTGCTAGTAAATGTTTTGACATATAGTCCCGATATTGTCTGTAGGACAGAACATCCACCGTCCATATTGTTTGATTATATCCGAAAAATTGAACAAAATACGACCATAATTTGACTTGTAAATTCGTGTCCGTTACTTGATTCGAAGAAAATGTTATTCTTCCTGGCCAGTACATGCCATCCTGATCATGTCTCGCCCATACAATTTCTCCAATATTGTAACCTGGAAAACGAGAATATCTGTATCTGTTCATCGAAAAAAATACAAAATATTCATACTATCGGAATCTGTTTTCAATAGACTAGCATTCATTGTCGTTAATGAATATGAATAGTTCAGTATGAGACATATTTTCTCGCATTTATAAACTTTTCTTTGAAAGAGGAGAAAAGTCAATAAAATGATTTATTTTCTTTTACCACATCAAACAAATGACTTTTCTTTCTTTGATGAAGCGTTGGCGAGCAGATGTGTGCCTCTAACTACGGTGTAATGTCAATATAGACTTTTGGATCGTGATTTTCATATATCGTTTATTTATTCTTCCACGAAAGAAAAAGGTGAATGTATGCTTATCGATGCACTCTATTTGACTTACCTGCATATCACGATATGTTCGCCAGCCGGTTTGTCTCGGAAAGCATTCAAGAAAGCCTGGAAGCTGGAAGACACTCGAGAACATATACACGAGATATATCAATGCTCTGATGTGTGCATACTGTGAATTATATGAGTAATTATTGAATTATTCGGATAAATTTTATTTCTAAATTGTTGTCAAAGAAACACATACAAAGAATTACAATTACTATTGACGAAAACAACAGCAAGATTCAGATAACTCGTTTACTATTTCAAGCAAATCTGACATAGACATGCAAAACGCGGATAGGAGTTTACTATATGAATTACTATTTCGAAACAAACAAAAAGGAAGGCATTTTTCTGATGTCTACTTATTATCATGTACAACATGTTGTGTGTAATATTCACAGATAGGTGGAGGTATGTTTGTTTTGATTGCCCCATTTTGAAATAAATCATCCATGATGATGGATCGTTTACTGGGATTTTTTACTATTTCTTCATGAGAATTCCGAATTATGTCAATTAAATTATTCGAATTCGGATTTCTACTCGCTGATATACGAGGAAACAATTCGTTAATTACAGCTTGATTTGCTCCACGAAAGTTTACATCAAAACTTTCGTTGAGTGCCTGATGAATCTGTTCGCCAACAAACCGATTCAGAATATTACTTGATTCAATAATCGATGATATACAATAAGCAGAATATGCCACCTGATCATCATCTCCTCGTGATTCGATATACTTCACTTTGGAACAGAGATACTTCAGTAACGTTGATCGAAGGATCTCATATGTTTCACGATTCCCTGAGCATAACAACAGTGCATCATCGTCGAATGTCGATCGATAATCAACTACGAGAATGCTCCGTTGATCCATGATTCTCGCATACAAGTGTTTCACAAGTGATTGACATGGTGCATTGACGAGCAGAAAGTGATAGTTGACATGTGCGCTGAGATTGTTGAGAATGGTGGCATCGAGAGCGTGTTGAAGTGATGCATCGAACTGATCGAAACAAATGAGATAAGTGAGTGAGGTGGCTGATGGATGCTGGTAGTTGGGTAAATGTTCGATGTAGATGAGTGAAGTATGGAAGAAGGCGGAAAGTGAATTGAAAACGAAGGAGATGAAGGACGCGTTGGAGTATGTTTTCGTCGTAACGATAACGACCGTATTAGTTGTTTGTAAGGTGTCTGATGGAGGTAAGCATTCCGATGGATTATCGTTTTGTCGAGGCAATGGCGGTGTAATTGATTCGACTAATAAGCCTTGCTGTGCATACCAATCGTCAGTCGTTGTTAACGGTTGATTGCTGGATGAAAATGTTTGAGATGATGGTGTAGCTATCTGTTGACATGGTGTGCTATAAAAGTCTGAATAGATATATAGACGGGTGACGTGAAGATTTCTTTCATAGAGAAAATTTACTTGTATTGGTTACAGCCATCGGATTGGTTGCCAAGAGAAAATCATTATTGGTATTGTGCTCAACTGCAGGAATTAAGTTTTGTGATTGTATGGTCATCAGCATTGAATTACTTGCATTGGCATATGTTTCATTACTAATAGCATAGTCAGCTTGTTGAATAGCGTTAACGAAACCAGGTTTAATTGTCGGATGAAGCCCATAATTCATGAATGGCTCGTTCGTCATTGAATCTCGATACTGTTGATATGGTAAGAGATCCGTAACCCAAGCTGTTTGATTCGTAACAAAAAAGTGCACATGATAGTTAGGTATCAATGTTGATGACCATAAATCGCTTGTATTACTAGAAACAATCATGATTTTTGCCGGCCAGTAAATTTCATCTTTAGTTCTTCGAGCCCAAACAATCCGACCGACATTTAATTCCATCAAGAAGAAGATAACAATAACCAATAATGACAATCTACAAACACACAAGAAGAATTTATCATTCAATAGTATAGACCATCAAAAGCAGTCGTATAGTTTCATTGTAAACGTCGAGTGAATCACATGTCCTGAATAAGATTTCTTAAAGCATAAATGACAAGCAGAATAAATAAAATAGCGCAAACAATAAATGATCTCGAGCACTGTTATATTTTCATAGAAAAAAGCAAGTCTAGTATACGAGTACAACAATCTCATACAAATTCATTTTATCACAGGACGAAAATAACACGGGGAACACAAAATGAAATATAAATAAAAAGGAATTGCTATCATTCCCGAGGGCAAACGGACGACGTTTCGATCTATTTATCAGAGGCATGATCATTCTTGAGATGCATCAAATATTCATTATGCGAATGGAATATTCCATGACAAAACTGACATTCGATCCGATGGAGATGATCTGTAGCCACTTTATTTAAACGCCGTTTTCGTTCAGCTGCCGAGACATTAGATCGAAGAGACGCATTTCCACAAGATTGACATTCGAACACTAAGTTTTTCTGTCCGCAAAACTCATGCTGAGTTATATCAGTGATTCGATCAGAATTGCAACGTGTACATCGAAGTTTTCGACCCGGCGAATGTAAATTCTGTTGTTGCTGGAAACGTTTCGGCGTATATTTACGAACTGGATTTGCTTTTCCAGAACTTTTCGACGCTGACTTCATTGTCTTATGGACATGGCAATTATCTTTGCGTGTTTTGACTAGAGGAGCAGTATTGTCACGAGATTGAGACGATGACATCTAAAAAGGTAGAAACAAATATAAATAATCAACTCAGTCTTCTAATATGAAAAGCATCCATCCAATGAGACTAACCGAGATGATATCCTGCTCATTGACAAGTAATTTTTTCTGTATATAATATGAAGAGATCTCGCATCTTTCTGTCGAACTCTTACAATTGAGTATTGCATTTTCAAGTGGAAATGCAATGTTTTTAGTAGAGAAAAGCGTTAGGTCACACATTTCTGCACTGAGGTATTGTTGAATGACTCGGTTTTCTTTCCTCAGTTGTCAGAATTTTTGTTAATAATAGATGATATCAATAATACAAAACAATTTATTGAAATCACACGAAAAAAATACAAATCCGTTTCAAATTGGGAAAATTAACAGGATATTTGATTAACTTAGTCGAATTTCGCTCCAAAAGACGGCTGCCTAACATACGGTATTTTCTTATAGAGATATTACAGCTCTAAGCCGAATAGTACCCTTACTTGAGTGCAATCGTCGGATTTGCCATGGTCCGGTATTTGAGAGAGCGGTTGATACTCAGACGAACAAGTATTGTTTATACTAGGTGGCGTTACTACCGACAAAGTCACTTGATTTTCTTGCCAAGTGCTCAGGGAAGGTAAAGTAGGTGGGGAGAAATATGTTTCATAAATAATACTAGAATTTGTTGCCGATACGGAAGTTGTTAATTGGTTAGGTATGAGCTCTGGCGCTGCTGTTGAAGAATATGTGAGCGTTTGTATTGATAATGGTGATGTTAAAGGAGCGACGCGCTCATCATTTTTGGGTAAATCATCTTCTTGAAACTCGTAATCAGCCGTGTAGTTAAGCTGTATTTTATGCTCTGACTGTCTCATCGGGTCAACTTCTGCTGTCATTCGCTGTGTATCACCTGATGATTGCTGAGCAATTAGAACAGATTTTGTTGATATCATCGGTACTGGTGTCTTCAGTAGTTGCAGTTTTGATGCATTAGTTTTACGACCACGCTTAGTCCCTGTCTCATTTATTTGTCTCACTCCAATTCTTTTTTTCCTCCCCGTAATCGATTGTTGCTGTAATGTGATTTGCATTGTATTGTAATCTGGAGTAGATTGACGAGCAATATGTGGCATGGCGCTCATGCCATTGGAATGCATTGATGCGAACAAATTCGAATTACTTGTGGGTGGTGTCTGTCGAGTTTCTAATGATGATAAATACGTTACGGTTTCCACTGCGTCACTCTGAATCCATATAGGCGGGAAAGATGGCAATGGCTCCTGTCTGCACAAAGAATTTTGGTTGGACATGTTACCAGTTACAAGCATGCCTCTGTCTTGAGAAAAGTCACTGATCGCTCCATCAATATCTGGTGAACTGGTCGGCGTTCGACGAGTATTGGCCATCAACGTGCTATCAAGACTCACCGGTGATCTGATCGTTTGATCTATACTAGATGAATGACGTTGTGCGAGATCTTCTCTGGAATCATTCATAACATCCTGTTGACCATGAGTAATCGATAAACTGTTAGACATCTACAAGAAAGTCGGATGAATAAAACAGGAGAACTCAATTAAAAACGGAATTTTTACCTCAAAAGTATTTTGATGCGAAAAATTGCCCTGTTGTTGACATACACGAGTAGGTGTCATAGCAGAAACAACATGACTTTGATGTTGTTGCGGTGGTGAATTTATTCTATTTATAACTTGTTTACGTGTTTGACAACTATCTAGAAAGAGAGAATAAGACATACGGGATTTTCTAGTTTAGAATTGTAATCGGTGAACAAACCAGTATTCGAAAAAAGCGACTGTTCCATTTGTTGAGAATTTTGCTTACATGACATATTCGTTGGCAACATTCTTGGTGATAAGATAGAACCTTGATTCAATGTACTAGATGGATAGCTAAACGTTAAAATCAACAGATAGAGAAATTGTTTTTTTTCTTTCTTTCGTAATATCGTACTTCATTGAAGATACTGGAGAAAATAGAAATGCGTGCGGTTGATGCTGATTGTTTGGCATCATTGAGGAGGTTTTCTTTGCTGGACATGTCGAGTTATTGCCAGAGACTGACGACTGCTGTGAAGGACTTGTCATGAGGCTTTGTGGCGAAGCAGATGTTAGTATATAATCGCTATTGGAAAACGGTACCGAAGTGACTGCTTGTGCTGAAGGTGTTGAGTACGCATCATTCAGATAACTTTGCGTCTGATGACTCATTCGTGGAGTAGGCGTTCGATTATTTGCAGTTGAACATGAATCATCTGGTGTGAGACTAAATGTTATTTGCTGAGGAGCTAACGCCACCACTGAGCAATTGTAATCGTGGTGATTGAACGGATTATTACAGTTACAAACAACCGGTGTTACAGCTTTATAAGACGATGGCGACGGTTGTTGGGGATCCTGCATGTTTGGCGTGATAGCAGGCACAGGCTTCGCTGATAAGAGTGGGCTGAAATTAGAATTATCACGATAGATTACAACTGTATTCAATATTAAACGTTTTAGTGCTAATCGTTAGATTCGATTTAGAAAGGTCTGCATACCTGGTAGTCAGCAACTGCATTTCAGTGAAAGAGTTAGTCGTATTCGATGTAGAAGTTGAAATAGCATTTTCACATACTGAATGCATGAAACCATTAGTCTGTGGAAGTTCCGGTATCGATGAAAGTTGAGACATCAACTGGCTTTTTATTTTTTGAATTGCTGCCGATCTTGATTCTGCAGTTGTAGTCAATGAATCATCATTATGGTCTCTTGACGCCATTGCCGTTGACACATCGTGTGGAAGCTTATATTGCTGCGGAGGATCGATCGGATGCAAATTATCTTGTTGCTGCGGTGGTGATGCATAATGGTGAATGAGTGCTGGTAATACATGATCGTGTTTAGTATACATTGATGGATCTTAGTGAAATGAACAGTCAGCATGAGAAAACAGAAAGGCAAACGTTTAACCTACTTTTATCAGCAACATTTAGAACAAGAACAGGATCGTCACCACCGTTCTGGGGCCATTCAACATACAATTCTATTGTAGCGCGTTCATCTTGAATAAGAGCGCCTTGGCATTTTTTAAACGGGATTTTATATAAAGTCGTCTCTCTAAAATGAGCATATTATCAATCAAAATAGCCATGAATATCACATAATATATCTTACCGCGTAACCATCACTATAAGACTATGTTGATAGCAGATAGTCGAAACACTATCGTAAAACCATTAACGAGTTTGTATGAATAGGTGATAATATACCTGGGAAATTATGCGATATATGAATAGTAACTAAAAAAATAACAAAAATACATATAGTTTGTCTCATTTCCATTCTGTCTGTTTAATTTGAGCGTCTGAAAATTTTTTACCTGATCACCGACTCGGAAAAATTCCGCTACTAACGATTGTGCGTCGTGCGTGTACTTCTTCTGTTCTGTTTGATTACTTAGTTGAAGTCAAATATAAATCACACAAAACATGTGTATACTATCTAGAATATAGTAAACAAAAACGTATGAGTAAATAAACATCAACGATGATGACGACTGAAAGTCGTGAAGAAAGAAAACTCAATCAAGAGAAGCGACGTCAAATCATGAATAAAATGCTTCCTTTTTCTATTTTTAAAATGTGCGAATTAGTAATATAGACACTGTCTATGCAGCTGTCGCAGTATCGAAATGACAGGATAAATGAAATTATTTAATATTCAGAATATGGATCAAAATCTTGTCTTTGCTGGATTGATATTGGGTTGTCAAGCATCGTTGACGAACAAAGTTTAGCCAATGTTGCTAATTTCTCCGCATTTGGATGTCGTAGTTGTGCCTGGGAAAGAAAGAAAAACGCAGTTCACATACATACCGGCGAAAGGAAAGAACACTAACGGTTAATTTTAATTTCTTCATGTTTATGTCAAATTCGGACATAATATCCACGTTGACAATATCGAAAGATTTTAGAACTTGTTTAACAATCTGTGGTGGATCATTATTTTTCCAATAGATTGTTAATTCTGCAGATTGATTCGGCGATAATTTCTGAAAACTTGTTCGCGGATGATCCAATGGTAAATTCTATACAATGAATCATTCCAAGAAAAAAGAACTTTAATTCGAAATCGATTACTTACGTTAATGCCAACACGGACTGGTACGCCGATACGAAAGAGATATACATCCAGACTTTCGTCTTTAACGCCGACAATAACAGCTTCATCAGAGATCGTGCCGTATTCCTAAAAGATTAAGAGATTCATTCGCACGAACACATCGATATCGCGATTATTTGTCTAATAGTCCATTGAAATGTCAAAAGAAATTTGAATTTGTATGTACTGTGGTATTTGTAATAGGAGAGAATGGAAAGAAACATCTGATGAGTAGACACTCATCTGAGAGAGTGTGTGCTAGCTTTTGTCTCGTATATTTTCAGTGATGATCGAAGTCATGGTCGAAAAACTGGTCGAATCATTAAACGAGTTATGTGTAGTTATGTATTACCAAATATTTACAACCTACTTTAATAAGCACAGCTAAGTAGAGCTCCGCACTGCGCTCTGAACATGTCTTAGCATTTAACTTTTTCTCATTACATAATTGAGCAATTTGTTCGAGTGTTCTTGGCGTCTGATAAAGGTTTTCATTGTAGTCTAAAAAGTAAAGAAACACCAATAGAATGTACATAAGACTTTTGGGTTTGATCTACCAAGCGTAGCGCCAAGCAATCGATGCACAAGAATATCGGGATATCGTCGAATAGGTGATGTAAAATGTGTATAGTATTCGACATTGAGTGCATAATGTGAATAGTCATTATTAGGTACACATGATGCACAACAATAAATTGCCAACTGCATAGATTTTGCAAGTAAATGTATGAGTAGTTTTTGTGTCGAGTCATCCTTGATTTTTTGAATAGCTTTCGAAATTTCACCGGATGAGCTGCCTTCGATATCAATACCAGATGATTTGATTAGTTTAAGCGTATTTTGTATTGTTGACGCATTCGGAGGTGGATGACGACGTAGAATGACTTTCTCAAATATACGATCTGTCAAACATAATTTACGTGCCACTTGCATATTTGCTAACAGCATATACTCTTCGACCAAACGATTACTGTCTTTCTGCTGGTATATAGAGAAACTTAAGGGTATTTTCGTATCTGCTTTCATTTGATATTGCAATTTAGGTTGATTTAATGTCAGTGCACCAGCCCGTTTTGAACGTAGAGCTTTAGAAATTTTGTAGAGTTGTAAAACCGTCCGTGTGATATCGTTAACAGTAAAGTTATTTGTTATAGACGGAAGATCATTCGACTGAAATTGTTTATCCGGATGCTCAATGATATCCTGTTTATTTATAAAAAAAATATCCTGCTATATGAATAAATATTTTGTAAATTTATGTACCTGAGCATGATCATAGCTTAATTTCACGCACGATCGGATGATACTACGTGTAAATTGCTCATCAAGTATCTAAATCCAAACAGAAACGGTCAGTAAGAGAACAACATGCATAGAATGCTTACATCGCCTTGTTCATTCATTGTCCAAATAACCGAATATGTCAGGCGATCTTCATCGGGATTTAAACTACATAATCGATCACATAGCAGGCGAGGCAACATTGGAATCACCTAAGAAAAGACACAAATCGTTAACACCATTTCGTTTTGTCGTTTCCTTTTACTCGTTCAACAAGATACACACTAGTTGTACGTTGTGCAGCTTCAGTATCAAGAGGTGTTTGCTCTCGAACGAAGTAGCTGACATCAGCGATATGTACCCCAACTTTATAATGACCTAAAATGAAGAAAGTACGTAAATTTCTATGTGGAAAACAGTCACTAATGCATTAATACCATTTGCCAATTGTTCACAACTTAGCGCATCGTCAAGATCTCTTGCAGTTGCAGGATCTATGGTGAAAATGCATTGCTTACGAAGATCTAATCGTTTGGAAAATTCCTCGTCGGGAATAGTCCACGTATCTTTTTCCAATGGTAAGCATTTAATGACCTGTAAGGAAGAGTTTTCTTATTGCTGTTAGTAATCACAACTTCTAATCAATTTACTTCTTCACTGAACTCTTCGTCTCGAATATCATTTTCCATCAGTATAGCTTTACTTTGTGCTTCAACAGTATCTGCATCGCCGAGATTTTCCATTAGCTCACTATTCAAGGAATATTTTCAGATAATAATCAAAACGAATGAAACAACTTGCACCGACCCTTTTGCAAATTTCTTATCCGCAGGTATATCGACAATTCTGGCAACGAATAATGATTTTTCGTAATCACTAGGACGATCTTTGAAATCTAGTCAGAAGCAAATTTTTGAATTAATAATTTACAGACGCGTTCGGATAGCAATTACTTTCTGGACAGTTTTCAATCGGAATCATCAAACGAGGTATACGACTAAGAACGCACAATAGAGTGTTGAAAGAAAAAGGCGAGTTCTTACCTGTCCATAGGTGAAAACAGAGCAAAATTGGGATTATTATCCGGCATTTTGCGTATTAGTCCAGCAGCTTTCATACTATGTCGTCGCCGGAAAAGAAAAACGACTTTGACCGTTCTTTGAAAGTATTGATCAGGTATTTTATCGATCATTTCGTCACTTAAATTGATATTTTGAGCGTTCAATGTATTGAGAGTCTCGCGTTTATTGTCACGTTTTGATGGAGAACTTTTTGGCACGTTAGTGTCAGTGAGTTTCTCTCCTTCCTTTTCCGCAGATGATGTTTTCTCATTACGTAAATCACGGATGCATTGTTCGACCTTGAATGAGAGAAAATAATAAAGGTTCAAGGAAAATACTACTTCTGCTTCTTCTTCTTACCAAATTTGTGAATTCTGGAATAATTTTCCATTGTCGTTTTGGTTTGATCTGTGCCGCCACTTCATCTAAATTCAATGCTCGATTTCGTTCACGAACGTTGTCAATAAAGAAGTCGGAACCACTATCCTAAAATATAATCGAATCGGATTTGTTTCTATTTTTTCACCAATATCATCATTTCTCTCACTGGATCGCTAATAAACGCATCAGTATATTGTTTAGCATTGATACGCAGAACACCTCGAATAGTTTTCTTATCTGCAATATCTTTCAATACCTGTTCCTCACTCAAATATTCATCACAAGCCTACAATAAAAATCGAGCAATACGTTCATCTTTAACATGCGACTATATATAGATACATACGAGTACTGTATTGTTCGATGTTTGCTGTCTCGATTGATTATTCTGATAATTTGATCGAGGCCTTGCATCATTACCTCGCGGTTGGTTATTGAAAATCTGCTGTGATACGGGATAATAGTTTGTATAATTTCCCCACCCACTTGTATCGAATCCACCATCTTGTGGGCCGAAGGCAGATTGATTAGCAACTGTAATAGAAACACAAATTATTATCTTTGCCTCATCATTTCTTGATTCATCACACAAGAGACTGCCTTTTTTCCAGTGTTTTGTACGAATTCTTTTCTTAATTATGTGCTAACAAGTTTACGAATTATACAGTTCTTTTTTTCAGTTTATCTTGGATTTTTCCATACTATATTACTCATAGTACATACTTATTGGCTGTTGGTGTTGTTGACGATGATTTGGATTTCTCCCGCCACGTGCATGCCCACGATAACTATTTTGATACTAAGAGAAGAAATATGATAAGAAAGAATTATTCATCAAAATATAATTTTACTTACGTTTCCTCGCCGTGAATTTGACATAGTTTTAAAATAATTTTCTGAAAATCATAAATAAATCGGGTAGTTTTAACCTGAATTTATGCTTTATATCTAGGTAGAATATTATGTCTGCTTTTCGTTTAAAAAAAAAACTAACCAAAATTCAAACGATTTGAGAAAATAAGATCTGTTCTGCTACTTCCGAGAGAAAGAAAGAGTGAAAACACGAGTTTCTTTCTTGCACAATACTTTATACAGTATTGTCGCTACTAGCAAAAGAGAAGCACATCGATAGCGGCGAATATCGCATAGTCACGTCGCTCGATGTTGCATGAAGACTAACGTACCAATTGAAAACAGAAAGTAATCGAAAACAATGTGCGACGTTTGAGATTTTACTTTTGATTGGATATAGAGAAAATCTTCAAGTTAAAAGTCGAGTATATCCATAAATAAGAGTCGGTTTTATCACACAAGAGCAATTCTTTAACCCATGTAGACACATCTATTTGCATTGGAATAGACAAGGTCATTCTATTTTTGTTATTTTCGTTTATACGAAAAGAACATTTTTCCTTTCAACTGATAATCATATTTTTAGATGTCAAATGATCACGTTGCTTTAGTAACGGGTTATACAGGAGAGAGTGGTAAAGCACTTTTGAAAGAACTCATAAAACATCCGCAATACAAGAAAATAATCCTAGTCGGGCGTCGGCATGTTGATTACTCTGAAAATAAATACAAAGAAAAAACGGTATTTTGCATTCGTATTTTTAAATATTGACTACTTTCGTTTTGGTTTAGAATTACAGAATAGCATAGATAAAGCTACGTGTTGTAAATATATCATTCTCAACAGTCACAGAGATTACATTATCATTGACTAATAACACGAGAGAGAGAGGAGATATTTCATAAGGCAAAACACTTTGTTTTGAAATATGTATGAGTCATAAACATCCTTTTCTTCTGTATGTTTAGGAGCAACGGCAAGTAGATTTCGATAAAATTGATGATTACCTCGATGCATTTCGCGGCGCTGATATCCACTTTTGTTGCCTAGGTACAACGAAAGGCAAAGCTGGAGCTGTATGTATTTATATATCGTTCTCGATATGCCTATCGTTTTATTTTTGTTTAGGAAGGCTTCCGTCGAGTTGATTTTGATTACATAGTAGGAGCAGCCCGACTCGCCAAACAAGCAGGCTGCAGACATTTTCATCTATTATCGAGTCAAGGTGCGGATGCGCATTCGTTATTTCTCTACACCCAAGTGAAGGTAGGCATATTTTTGATCGCCGAACAGATGTAGATTCCTATTTCTGATATTCAATAGGGTCAAACAGAAACTGCGTTGACGCAAATGTCATTCGATCGGTTATCCATATATCGACCAGCGTTAGTTTCGATTGCTCATGAATAAGAAAATACATACGTGTTTTCTTTTAAAGATTTTTGATGGTTGATCGGGAAGAAAACCGGCCATTCGAACGATTTGCGCAAACAGTTATTCGTAATACTGTTCAACGAGTGGCGCCTGAATTGATCACAACGCCAATAGAAGTTCTCGCACGAGCTATGTGCTATAACACATTCACTACAAACCAATCTGGAGTAGAAGTTTTGAACAATCATGCTATTTTCCGTCTTGCCGGACAACAGCAGTCCTCTGAGTGATGGCAGTGATCGAAAGAGACGTGTCGATGAATTTAACATAACCATTTTCTTTTGATGTGGGATGAATGTACTCTATAGAATTGTTCCTGTCGAAAATCTGTAAATAAGTGACAACAAAAAATAAACGTACTCGTACAGGTTTCAAATTTTCTTAAACCTACCTTATTCATACATTAGACAGTAAGCGAAATCTATGATGACTTAGGCTGCTCATGGCTATTCTAAATATGAACTATTACAACATTGACTCTAACAGTCCGATCGTACGTGTGCCTCTTTTGCTTTGGTCAGCTTACAATCTACTGAGTTGATGAGTTGTAGATTTTAGTACTGCAAGGAAACTCGATCCAGAAAACGATCAAAGTGAATCTTGTCCATAATACTTGACTAATGTCTTTACGTGCTATACCAATAGAGGGAGCATAACACACTACACCATTTGGCCTGATCAAATAAGTACTTCTTAGCTAAGTGCGAGTTGTGCGGAGCGAAAGTGTCTGAAGTACTTCGAAGTACTTCTGTTGCAAGGCCTAGCTGGATCGAAGGGGAATACGTCGCGAATATGCGAAATTAGGTTGATTATTACGGAAATGGCGGCCGACGTTTTCTCGGAAGCTTCGATTATCGAGAATGACATGTTTTTCGAAGTTCCGATGTGGAGAAATCGGCAGTTTTCGTAGGAAACCTTATATGCAGTATCCTACAAAATCCATCGATCGGAAGTTAAGGAAAGTTTGATGGTTCCTTGTGAAGAATTTGAGAGGATTAGATTGGGAACTACAGTGTATGATCCGGTCAAGATCCGTGCACAAGATCGCTAGAATCGTACATTTTCAAGTTTTATGATCGAGAAATACATTTAGGTGTAATCAAAGTTTGACATTTTTACAACAAATTTCGAAAATTTTATTGTGATAATGTACGACATGACGGCTTTGAAACGATTTATTTGATTTGCTTCAATAGATGACACAAGCTGACGAGTATATTCACACGAACGAAGCGAACATTATTTTCTCTCTGACTGGTTAAATTGCTAACGACTATTTTGCTATGAATCATTGCAACATTGACTCAACAATTTTTTTAAATGTTTTGTGATATTATTACTAATCCAATATTTTCGATTGATACATCCTGAATGTTGGTCTTCCTAGTCATCTCAATCTCATTGATCCTTCTTTGCTATTTGGGTTATAAGACTCGATGGATATACACCCTCATATATAAGGTGAAAAGTCTCGATTTTCGTAAGACGAAATAGTGATTCATTCAACAATCTGTTATAGGTGGACGAGAGTTCGACAGCATATGGTGGTGAACTTGTTGCCGATGTTCTAAAAGTAAACAAGAAAAGAGAAATTCCAACCCATGTCTTTCGTTCTATCTATAGGCACATGGCGTTCCCTATCTGTTTTGTTTATCCGGTGGTCACATATCACCAATATTGGTTGCTTGTGAAAAACGTGGTATACGTATTATTGATACTCGCCATGAAGTGAATGCGGCATTTGCTGGTAGAGTTACACTCTTTGATTCATCTTCCTTGATCTAAAAGCAATTTTGTTTTGTCATCAAGCTGATGCAGTATCTCGTCTGAGTGGCAAAATTGGTGTTTGTGTAGTAACTGCTGGACCGGGTAATATCATTTCTTCTGATGTTCTACATTTACAGATGATAATATTGACTGGCTATTTAGGTTTAACCAACACTGTGACAGCGATAAAAAATGCCCAAATGGCTGAAAGTCCGTTGCTACTACTTGGTGGTTGCGCTGCAAATCTTTCCAAAGGACGTGGTGCATTACAAGATATTGACCATATGTCTCTATTCAAATCTATATGTAAATATACTGTCAGTATCAAACGTGTACGTGAAATTCCAAGCATGCTTCGACAAGCGATTCATGTTGCTCAATCGGGAACACCAGGTAAATAGGCAAAACACAAACAAAGATTTATTATCTATGTTGACTTTCTAGGACCTGTATTTGTCGAATTTCCCATTGATGTTTTATATCCATTCCATCTGGTTGAGCGTGAAGTAGGAATTAAACCCAATCCAAAGACAGTAGCCGATCGATTCGCTAATCTGTACAGATATAAATAATTAAAAAAGAGCATTCTGATTTGAAATACATCTTCATTTATATCTAGATATTTATCTACATATATTCGCGGAACATTTGCTGGAGCTTGGGATAGACAAGATGTATCTCCCATACCACCAAAAATACCTTATGCATCTAACGTTTCGAGTAAGATCGTTTTCTTCATAAAACCTATTTTCATTGATGTTTATCTAGTTCAAAAAGCAGCAGAACTAGTTCGAGCGGCCAAGAGTCCAGTGTGTTTACTAGGTAGCCAAGCTACGCTCCCGCCAACATCGACTAGTGCAGTAGTGGAAGCACTTGAAGTAAATTGACTTTATTCTTATGGGTTGATGGTTCTATTTTTCCCATATTAGTCGATGAACATTCCATGTTTTCTCGGTGGTATGACACGAGGCTTATTGGGCAGAAATAGTTCAATACAATTTCGACATTGTCGAAAAGAAGCCTTGAAAGATGCAGACGTTGTTCTTCTGATTGGTACGCTATTTTGGGAGGGCAAATCCTTGACTCACCTTTGAGATGTTTTCAGGAGCTGTCTGCGATTTTCGTCTTGGATATGGCAAAGTTCTTTCAAGAAAATCGAAGATTATTATTGTTAACCGCAATTCATTTAGTTTGCATCAAGTAAAACGATATCTTGTAGAAGAAAAGAAACAAGCGCAATAATCAATCTCCTTCGTTTCAGAATAGTGATGTCTTCTGGAAACCAACATTACCAATCAAAGGCGATCCAGCTGATTTTCTTGTAAGATTAAACAAAGTTTTAGCTGAGAGTAACTATCGATGTTCGACTTCGTGGATTGAAAATCTTCGAAATAAAGACGATGTCAAAGAAGAAACAAACCGGTAACTGACAGAAATCTCTTTCGAATTACTTACCCGATTTCTCTATCTCTAGACAAAAAGGATTAGAAAAAACAGAGGTTCTTTTGAATCCAGTCCGCGTCTTACAAGAACTTGAAGCACAATTACCAGAGAATGCAATTCTAATTGGTGATGGTGGGGATTTCGTAGCTACAGCTGCTTACATACTTCGTCCTCGTGCACCATTGGCTTGGTTAGATCCGGGCGCTTTCGGTACATTGGGCGTCGGAGCAGGTTTTGCTCTCGGCGCAAAATTAGTTCGACCTGAAGCAAGCATATGGATTATCTATGGTGATGGTGCACTTGGCTACAGTATTATGGAATATGATACATTTGTTCGACATAAAGTATGTCGAGATCGCGTTTTTAACATTTAATTTCGAAGACCTCTCTCTTTAAAAGATACCAGTGATATCTATTGTGGGTAATGATGCTTGTTGGAGCCAAATAGCTCGCGATCAAGTGCCGCTCTTAGGCAGTATTGTTGGATGTTCATTAGAAGTAAGTTCTACGTTGATAACTACCGAGATTCTCATTGTTTCCCTGCTAGTATTCCAAATATGACAAAATTGTGGAATCTTTGGGTGGAGTTGGTTTTCAACTCGATCGTTCGAACGAAAATAACATGATAGATATATTTCGACAAGCGAATGATGTTAATCAACAACAACAAAAAAGTGTGCTTATCAACTGTTTGATTGGAAGAACAAATTTTCGCGAAGGCAGTGTTTCAGTATAATGTTCTTTTGTCATTATAGTTTTCCCTAAGATAATTTGTATTTGTTTTGGGCTGCATATGAACAACAGGTAACCCCGATTTCATAGACTCATTTTGTTACTGATTGGTTTGTCCAATAAATTGATGGTTTAGCTGTTTTAATACGACGTTCCGTGCACTCTTTGTTATAGTAATAAACAAAATCTTTCAGTCGAACTGTTCGTTTTTCATCACGATGAAACTTACTCTCGATCGAAAATGCAGGCGATTTCGAGTAGCCGTTTGGGAATAGTTCAACCATATAATCCTCTTGTTGTAAAGCATATTTGTATTGCTAAATGAGTAGAACAATACAAACATAAAATATGTCAAATGTAAAACGATGAACTATTACGAGAAAAGAGGATCGTGCTCGCAGCTCTTGTATGCGATTTGCAACTTCAAGTCCTTTTAATTCAATCTCTGTTATCTTCGTTGGCGTTTCAGATTGATCAATAGTTAGGACTGCAGGTGGAGCCTCTAAGCCTACTGTTGATCCAGTTGTTTTCGGCCGAGACTGGCGAGCTTCTATGCGAAAAGGAATACATTACTCATCTGAACATCAATCTAGACGTACTAGAAGTTGACGAATGTCCTGGAGATTTGCAGGCACCTCCGGCATGAGACTGTTTCAGTGCTAAAACACTTGCTGATAAATGCCGTCGAAGTTTAGCTTTCTGCAGAGCAGCGTCGTGGACCTATGAATAAAATTAGCTCATGACGATTCATCTAATAGTCAGAGAACTTGATGTTGCCAAGAAATTTTTGCGGGCCAAACAGAATTTTCGATCATTTTTCCTTTCGCAGAAACTTCCAGAAAAAAACGATTTTGTTCTTCGTCCAAGTATTTTGCATTCATTTCATCAATCAATTGCTGATCGACAGATTTAGGATTAGCAATGTCAATAAGCTAAACACAAACACGCATTGAACAAGTCTTCAAGCATCAGAATTTTCATACTTTCTTCGCAGCTAATTCTGCCTTTTTATCCACCCGATCTGACATTAATAATAAATCAAAATATTCACATAGATGTAATATTCGTGTTTTATTCAGATGATAATGGTATAACCGATGTCGAAGTTTGATTGGACTTATACGATAATCACACGCCTAGAATATGATTTCATGTATTTACTCATAATGAGCAAAAGTTCGATGAAGAAATACTTTGATTGTGTGTAGAATCAATTCGAATGTATTCTTATCACTTCGTAAAGCATTCATCTCATAGACGTCGAATGCTAGCCGTGCTTTATGTATTTCATGAAAGCTAATCGACATGAAATGACATGGAAATAAAATTTCGAAGAAAATTGTACCTGAATAAATGTGAATCGACTAGTTGAAGAGTTTTCGCGAGCACAAGACTATTGTATACGCCACTTTGACTATTGAACATACGATTAATATCGCTGGTAAACGCACCCTGCTTGAGAAAATGCAACAAATCCTACAACTTCAATGAAAATCGTCCATTCTCAGAAGAGATTAATTTACTTCGATTAAAACTATGTCTCCAAATCCGAGTTTATTCAACCGCTGTTCCATACGATCTTCTGGCAACTAGACAAAACTTTTCCTTAAGAAAAACTAAACAATTCGTTCCATCTTACTCCTAGAGCGTGTGCCAACATTCTAAAATCGAAGAAAATTCCGCATTTTCTTGTTCGAAATTAATATCAAAGGTTTCCCGGCATGTACCTGATTTCACGTCGATTGAAAGATCCATGTGTCGTATTATAAATACATAGTATATTCGACATGATTGTATTTCTTTCGATCGAAATTAACTTTTGTTAAAAAAAATGACGCTTTTCTTTTCTCTTGCGTTTCAATTCCGATTTCGTTTTGCGTATTTTTGCTCTTTGTTAGTTAAATAACGACAATGACAGAAAAGAATGCAATGTTTGTGTAACATATTTCATTTTCATACTAAATAACAAAGAAAGAAAAACGAGATCTCCTTCAGAATTTTTAATGCTATTTGCATGTATTTACAAAGTCGACAATCGATCAGTTGCTTTTCCTGCACGAAAAAAAAAAGATACAAACTGAAAATAAATAATCAATATTTGATTCTACTCGCTCGATGGAGAAGAAAGAAAATCAATAGAAAGACATTTGACAAGTAGATTACAATTTCAACAGACACTGGCATGCTGATAAGCATTCTATATGACTTTGAACTGTTCATCGTCATAAAAGAACAGTAATTATATATGTAGGTACGAATTCGATACAGTGACTAATTACAAAGAGATTAGAGAAACTGTTTGATGATTTGACTTACTGACGAATGATCGTCCTCCATTAATTATAGTCGATGGATGTGCGCGGTAGAATGCTTTGACATTATGTTTTATTGATATTTCTATAGTTTTACAATAAAAAGAAAACGTTCAGTTAAATTTGTTTGTCATTGACTATACCACACGAAACGAAACAGAGAATAATCTGACGGAAAATCATTCGTTTGATATCTGCGGTTGTCTTACTGATCAGTGTAATGATTATGATTGTTACTTTGATGCCCTCCTATGAATGAAGTGTAAGGTCTCGTCAAGGTCCAATCGGACGGTGAAACGATTGTGCGCGGCCAATAGTCAACATAGGTACTAGGAACAGGACTACTAGCACCGCTTTTCGATGAGTTGGCGAGCACAATCGATAAGCGACGGCAGTGTTTGTTAATTGAAGTTGATTCTGATGAACATGAAGATGAGGACGAGGACGATGAGGACGATCTATTCAATTTACGATGAATAGCATAGGCCAAGACAACGAGTAAGACGATAAGTAGGATCAAGGCAAGACCGATTGCAGCAAGAATAAGAATATATGTTGAAGGTGGAATTGCAACACTTGAGTTATTTTTATTTAATAACGATAATGACGATGATGCTGATAAGGGAGATAGCGAGAGTTCGGAAGCAGGAATTGAATCAGATCGATGAGTAAGTTCATCTGCAAAGCAACATTCACGTCGATTTTCTGGGCCGCAACAGACGCGAATTCGGTTGTTAACTGGCTGACAACTGAAACCATTGTTCCAAATACCTAAAAGAGCGATCATAAATATTTATCAATAGGAAAAAAGTCAATTTTCACTACCTGAATCGTCTAAATATCCCGGACAGCTGTTGAACATTGTTTAACACTTCTAGAAAAGCAACAGCAATCGAATTGATCCAGATATAATTATCTTATCAATCTTACCGGAGTGAACTGGAATAAAGGTGTTTTATTATTGATGAACTAGACGTAAGATTGACAGTAACAAAAGACGTTAACTTTGTATCATGATCCTTTGTCGAGTGAGAAAAGAAAAACACGAAGCGAAGATTGAGAGTTCAGACGAAGATAGCCGATGGCGATTTTTATAGTCTCGTCGTGTTAGTCTATACTAAAAATAAAACAGGCATACTCATTATATGCACTTCATGCAAGAGTCACACCTTGCAGACACATACACATATATACATGCATCATGCATATAGACCAATGTCTGCCATCTTCTTCGCTCATTCGACATCTCCAAGAACAAATTTTATTCTAAAGAAAATTTTCTTTCACACATCATTTCGCGTGAATAAACGACTCAACTGAATCTATACGTATACACGCTGTACATGAGAAGAATGAGAATGATTATCTTTTACAATGCCATTCATATCGACATTAAAAAGTTCAACTCAATGAAAGTGTCCCTGAATAGTACTGAATCGCCTAACGATACACGACCGCAGGAGAGAGATTACTGATCTATGCAGAGAACATATTTGTCACTTACTGATATCCAACAAAACAAAACATTCTCAAAGACTAGACATATAGCGGTACTTTCAAACGGATTCTTTTGCTCTCGTTCATCAATTTCTGACACGCGTACACATAACAACAGTCTGAACAATGACGATGATTGTGCGTCCCAATGGTAGAAAGAAACATCAGTTGAGTTTCCTCACACGCCCACACTTGACGCGACGGTGCAATACAAATGATGGCTAACATTCTTCTTCATCTCTCCCTCTCTCTCTCTCTCTCTTTCTTCTTCTTTCGATAAGACGCGCCGATCCTGCTGCTATGCACATTCACTTGATTAGAGTTGATGTGCATACTATCCATAGATGTTATTTGAATGAATCAATGAACGCATACCGCCCATGGAGAGAAATAGATCAACTGATGATGCAAGTTTAATCGATATCTCTCATAATTTAATCGTCGACCTAAAACAAAAATAACATTACTAATCATAAACATCTACCTTAATGTTTCTTCCAGTCAGTTGAGAACGAAAAAAAAGAACACAACAAGAAAATTATCTTCGCATGTAGTGAATAACTTGTGCTCTGTCAAGCACACATGAGACAACTGTACGATTCCAGATGACACTGTATATGTTTATATGTGTGTGCGTGTGCTTCTACGTCGTTCATCACCTACTAATCGCCATTGTCTAATGACTTTTTTCTTTTTCTTTTCGCACTTCTATCTGGTCTTCGGCTATCAATAGACAAAGACGATCGTGATTAGAATTAATCAACGAAATGCATAAATCTCGTCCTTCTCTCGCTTCCTCTCCACATCGTGTCTTACTAACATTGACCAGATGCACGTCATTCTTGCCGATGCTCGTTTGACCATCGATTGTATCAAAGACATAGATATAAACAAGAAAAGAAATTTGTTAAATCTACATGGCAAAAATCGACGCCAAGAAGGTCAACATTGTTGAACTTCACTTTATATTTATCTTGTAATAAAACATTGACTATCTTTCTCTTCTCAATTGCACACTAATGTGTTGTTTTCCGGAGCGAGATAATAAATACATCACAATTGTAGTTAAGTAGACCGTCAGACGGCTGTTCAAACATAGACTTTTCCTGTATTATTATCATCATTTGAAATTTCAATTAGATAATAATGATCTTCATTCTTTTCTCTTCAAATTTAGCTCAATGATTATCAGATGTTCAGCCTTCTTTGTTTTTTGCTTAAACAATTAGATATATTAGGATAGGAAAGATCGATATCCAACTACTGAGTGAACCTCTCATCATCTAGTGAGAGCCCTTGATGATATCTTTCCTTCTTCTTTCTTCGTATACCTTCAATAGCCATAAAAATCAATCTTTTGTATATACATCTTATCAATAGATAAATAGATAGATAAATCGACATGTCAATGACAAGTGAACGCACGTCTGGCATTTCTCAAAAAGAAAATAAAACATCTTGCTTATTCACAATCGAAAGAAATATTTCTTAAAACTTTCATTTATAGATATTATGATAGTGAAATTCCATGAAATGTAACATAGAAACTAGTGTAAAGCTAGAAGTACTTGTGTTGATCAATCTTTCGATAAACTGCGACCATAACGAGTATTTCCAAAGCGACGTCGTTGACGAAGCGATGCTAGTTCAGGTGAGAAGCGCTTCCATAAATGTTCCATGTCTTCGTCTTGTTCATTGTCTTCGAGTTGAGTAAATCGTTTGTTGTACCATGATTTCAATAACGATGCGGAGGAAGGTAAAGGAGCTGGCTGGTAATCGCTATCATCTTCAGTTGGAAGGTAAATTCTAGCAGCTTGATCTGGTTGAAATTGTATGAAGAAAACACATAGAAAAACGAGGATCATTGTTAAGCGAGACATTATTTGATGATAACTGTTTAATGGTCAAAAAATTAAACTAGAAAAAGTAAAAGAAAACTTTATGACAATGCGTCCACGATATTTCTAAGAAGCATTTCTCAAAGGATCTCCCCTTAGCATATATTCTTTTCATTTATTCACCGGATATCTGCTTTTAAAGCTAAAGGGAACATAAACCTGAATGTTAATAAGTATCTTATTTGAAAGTGTCTAATTAGGGGGAAGATGTACGATATCCTGACCTTTGATATGTGAAATATTCACCAACCCTACGCATTATCTGATAGATTCGAGAAAAGACGACTAAAAATACTACAACGTGCTCGTTTTCTCGACAACATGAAAAATCTCTAGATTCAGGTACTTTTTAATCAAATATCTCCAAATAATCATATGTGAATGTTATGTTTCCATTTAATTCTTCTTTCGATACATTTCTTGACGTATGTCATTCGCAAAAACTGATCCAGAAGAATAACAAAAAAAGTCGCTTACGCTGTTGACATCTTATATTAGTTTAATTGATTATTAATTACCTCTTGTTGCTGATACTTATGTCTAATTTTCTTTCCTATCAGTAAAAAACATATTTTGTCACGGATGAAACACGCAGTCGACGAAAAGATCAGTAGATGTAGTGAAATTCAAGCGAACGAACGAAATAAATCTACGTATTGGATAAAAAAGACATCTGTACTAAACGAATCAGTTCAAATAAGTATTTTCCCGATCGCTAAACTCATTACTAACTATATTTAAAGGAAATCATGGTGGATAATAATAAAGTTGTTCTTTTTCTCGGACGGACTGGCTCTGGTCTGTAAATTTTTATTCTATCGAACCGCTTCATTTTCTCATGAGACTTTGCTTTCAGGCAAAACAAGCTTATTTAATTTAATGTCGAACTCAAAGCAACGCTTAGGAAATTCTGTTTCATCTACAACGAAGAAATTCATTAGTAAAACATGCTGTCAAGTGACTTATATCGATACAATCGGCTTTCGTGATACTGAAGATGAAAATGAACATCGACTGAAGGTCATACTTTTCCTGAAAGAAATCCGAAATGGTTTTGATATCAGTATGTTTGTATTCGTCGAATGACTACACAATCAGCTCTTTATTTAGTTTTCTATTGCATCCGAATGGACGTGTTCACTTCGGATGAAGCGAACCTATTTTCAGAAGTCTACGGTAAAAGATTTTCCACGAACGAACAGTTTTCTTATCTTTTGTTTTCTCTAACCAATAGAAACTGTTCTGACAAAAAAAGCGTACAGCAACTCATGTTTGTTAATCACATTCTACACTCGTCCTGATATAGATGAAGTCAATACGCTAAACTCACCTGAACGTCAACGTTTGTTAGAAGAATGTCGTTCTAACTCGAAATATAACGCTATTCTGGATCATTTCGAAGATCGAATCTTTTTTGTCGATATAAGACAAGAGGAAAACTTAGCGGACTACGCAGTCGGTAGTACAAGACACACTCAATATAAAACATTGAACGATATGATTCACGAACGGAAACAAATAGTCTATAAGCATTTAGAAAAATTTATTGAATACTTCTTTCCGGGTGAGACAAAATAGTCTTTATGTACTTAAGAAATCGAAGAGATAGTTCTTTTTTGCTCTTTTTAAGAAAGATTCGATTGTGAAAATATGAAAACAATGAGGGATTTGATATTTAAAAACGATCAACTTGAAGAGCAGCTCAATGAACTCAAAGAAATCGTTGTTGATCTTGTCAGTGAAAGATCCACATCGACCTTCTACGATCTCTTACGTTTTATGCCGGTTACAAACATGTTTATTGATGTGTTCGGTATGTCTCTGATAGATGAACTTGCTTTGGTCTTACAAATGTCTCTTGTCTTTGTTTTTATAGAAAGAACTCGCCGTGAAAAAATCGAAAAACGTCTCAACAATGCGTTGAAAAACTAATCTCGCTGCATTCTTACCGTTCCGGTGGTTTTTTGTTCGGTTTATTCATACAAAATGAATATGCGTTCGATATTTATATATGTGTCTCTGTCTGCGATGTTTGGATAATAGTCAGAATATGTAAACATACATAATAAGTGGGGGACGAAGAGAGCAGGAGAGAGAGAGAGAGAGAGAAAGATAGGAATATTGTACTGATTCATCAGTTTCTGTCTAATTATACAACGTAATAGAAACAAACAACTGAATATGATTGACACATTTTTCTGTTAAATTCATCGGGTAATCTATTTAGTTTTGTGTATGTGTCAATTTACGAGATTTTAGTTAACTGTCCAGTCGCACTTGGAAGTATCCTACCAGAATTCTCCGACCGCCTACTTAGATTCTTTCGTGAGAGAAGAAAATCGATTCTGACAATGAAGTTAATAAGTAAAGCAAAGAAATAATAAGTTTGTCAATGATAATAGCAAATGTCAAAAGAAGTTGCAGAAAACGACGAAGAAGATGATGACGATGTAGACATTTGAAGGTGTAACACGAATTGATATACAATTACAAATGAAATTATTATCACACATATTCAAGAATTTATATCAGAGTAACTACTCTGATTTATTATTTCAATCTCACGAACGCATGATAATCTCGGTTGAGCAAATTTTCATAATTCATATGAATGAAACATGCAACAGAGTGATTTTTGTGTCTTTTTCTAGCAAAAGTGAGCTGTGTTAATTAAGCACATTTCTTTTGTGAATAAAGAAGAAGGAGAGAGAGAGAAAAAAAAAGAATGGTAAGTTATTGTCGAATGCATCTCTTCCGTATTAATCAGTTAATGGTTATACATTATCAACGTAGGCGGATGACAGAGCATATGCTAGATAAATTTATTCTATCGAACATTTGATCTTAACCATAGTTATCCTGTCGGCAACCTTTCTCCGTTGATCTTAATCGTACATTTGTTTCAAAGCACTTCATTCGACAGAGTTTAAACCTTCAGAAGTCAATTTGATTGAAAAGTAATCATGTGGATTTTCCGAACGAGTGCTCTATTTCATATGTCATATGTTATCATCGACAATGTAGTTTTTCGAGTCATGAGAAATTCTTAAATTACTTTCTATCTGGATAACGTTGCTGACAAAAACATTATTTGATGGTTTGTCTATTGTAGTTATGCATGGTATTTAAAACTAATTATTCATTGAAAAACTAATTATCAATAACACATACGGAATACGCGATGAGACTTGTTTGGAACGAGTGTTGAGAATAAAACAAGGCAAAGTTTGTTTTCTGTCGAGTGTATTATTAGTTAATAAAAAAAGGAAAACAATTATTTGCCTTCGAATTGGCCAGATATAAATTACGTAGGAGGTTAAGCTTCTCTTGACAAATGCTAACTATCGCGACATTATCAACTTCTGGAAATTTCTCCGCAGGCAAATATTTTTATGATTATCAGTACTCGACTGGAATTTTCTTCGGAGCTATCAGCTCATATGAAAAGCACTGGACAAGATCAGGTAGCCCACGACAATACATGGTGGACTTCAGAACATTCTATTAGAACGCATTTGTTCTTGCTGAACGTTGCATTTTGAAAGTGTGAGTGCAAATGAGAGCTCCATATCCTGTAGATGACATCAGTAATAACTTTAGTGGCTCTCAAATATCGACTCGAAAAAGACTTTAGAATATATTTCCACCCACGTCCGGCTGTCGACGGTATAGTGATGAATCACACTTCACTGCTCCATTTTCTCGTATGAAAATGACAACTGCGTACGGCACTGAAGTTCCAAATATCGCAAAGCTGTTTGTCGAATAGCATAATATGTATCGAGTTTATTTTTCTTACGCAAATATAAATTTAAAGGAGAAAAAGAGTCCGCTGGAAACTAGACACTAATAACAAGAACAACTATGGTAAATACAAGATGCTTGTGTAGATAATTTTCATGGTTTGACTTCATTGACCATTTCTGTACAAAGTATGGCAACATTCAGAACATAATGAAAAAGAGAAAACAAGGAAGTTAGAAAGAAAAAAAATAGGTGAAAGAAAAATGAAGCGAGATTCATAGCGTATCTTTTCTGCACATAGTTTCTAGTTTAAATAGGACCAAACAAAAGAAAAACAAAAGAAAAAGCATACACACATCGAATTATACACACAGCGAGATCTTCTCACATCAATATCAGTATTTGCTCTACCCCGAGTAAAGAAAATGAAAGAAAAAAGAGAAACGAACAACGAAACATGTTAGCGGTTTAATATGTTTTCTGTTTATAAACGTACAATGCGATTCTCCGACGTTAGAAGTCCAACACGTACATAAACATCGCTACCAATACCATACATGGTTTCAATAGTCAGCGACCCATTCAAATATTCACAATACGCACGAGACGTCGGGACACCAAAACCATAGCTAAACAAAACAGAGAAAAGATTTTTCATATAAAAAAGCACTCAGAACCGTTTTCATACCCGCTCATGCGATTGGTACTATCGTGTGTAACAAGCTGATCATGAAAATGATTTTCAAAATCAGTGTAAGAGAGTAACGATGGTTCATTAGCCAAGTTATTCGACGAAAAATGATAGTCGAATATTTTATCAAGCAATGCTCGTGGCATACCACCACCTCGATCTCTTATACTGAAAGGAAACGAAAACGATAGGACATTGACTTGTGAAAACGTTTTCCATACCGTAGTACAAGCTCATCTTCATTAACAGCAATTGTCACGCCAACACTTGGTAAGCCAAGATCAGAATATCGATGATGTTCGACCGTAGCTCTACAAGAGGAAATACATGTAATCAGTTTTTTTTTAACAGAGAAATGTGAAAGCACAAATCTATGTGTTCTTGATATTCGCAAATTCAAATGATTTTGTTTTCATCTCTGTGTTGCATCAACGTTTCAAAATCAGTTCTCTAAGTTCAGACAAAGTTTGTTTTCGCTAATCAAACAAATCGGTAAGAAAGAAGCAGAAGAGCATCAGTCGTGTTCAGTTTTGAACATAATAACACTTACTTTTTATCTACGAACAAATTTTTATCAATTATCATCTAGAGAAATACATTCTTTTCCATAGATTTATCTATATCTTATCAAGACTATTGTACGCTATTCCTTCTGACTTACAAATGAAACTCACCTAAATGCATTTTTGAGCATTTCCGGAACAATATAGTTAAGTGGTGTAGTAATATATGGAAATGAACTATTCACAAGACCGTCAATTTTAACATCAGGCGCAACACCATATTCCGCGCGGCACACTTTCCTAATAATTGAAGAAAAAAAAACGATTTTCTACGGTATGAAGCGAACAGTTCTCCTTCTAATACACATACTTAACATATTCAGCGGATGACTGAATGAGTTTCTTCGGGGAGAAACTCATACAAATAGCACCAATGTAATTCGGCTATTATGGAAAAAAATTGAAATGCTTTAGAAACACCTATGTACTGTCATACATACTTTATCATTACGTAGTTCAATGTGATGTTCGATTAACATTTTAATAGCCAATCGAGAAGTGAGTGCTCGATCAAGAAAGTTACGCACAAGTGTTTCTTGCTGCAAAAAAGTATTTATAATCAGATATGGCATTTGAAATCACGAATATCTACTTTGATATGTCTTTTCGATTCACGAAAACCTTCAGCTAATAATGGTAGTGTATCTGAACTACATGTAAGAGTGTTTTGCAATAACTCCGTATAGACCTTCTCTTGTTCCAGTGTTTTAATCTACGAAGAATACACGAAATATTATGAATTATACGCAAATGTTTTTCCTACCTGCGGAAACGAATGCAGCGAGTGAAAGATTTTAATGAAACGTTCATGCTAAAATATCATATCAGCAGTTAACAAATGTGAAAATCTTCAAATTTTCTTTATACCAATTCTAATAGTAGAGGATTACATGCAACCACAAACGGTAAGTTGCGAAAATCATCTATTCGATGTGCAAAACGAATTGGTAGATCTTTATGAAGATATTGAGCCGAACGCTACAACAGAATCAGATACATATTGACGAATGGCGAACAAGTAATGAATTGAATTTACCAAAAGATGACTTCCATCTTCTGTTTTTCCAATATACATCATTGTCAATGGTGTAAGACGAGTTGATTGCTAAACGAAAATCAGATTGAATCGAATAAAGCAGAACAAAGACTTCGATTTACTTTTGTGGCAAGTTTTTCAATATCCGTTTGCGAATAGAACGACGTAACAGTGATGTTGTCCAGGTGTTTGTCGCGAATTTTCTTTTCAGTGGGTGGTGTGCATCGATTTGTTCCGTTTCCATTCGTCGTTTTTCCATCTTGATTGTCGCGTTTCAAACTTGTGGCAATGTTTGTTTGTTGTCGAACGATTGGACTTATCGATACGGACAGTCGACGGAGTCTTGTCGCGAACATTGTCTATAGTTGATTTTACTTTGTTTTTAATAAACAATTTGCCAAAAAAAGTTTTGACAGGTCATCACGTACATGTACCTTGTCTTACTCAATTAAATGAAGACGAATCACAGCGAATTGAATATCCTATCCTATAGAATAGACAGAGCAACAGAGAAGAGAAAGTTCAAATTCAACATCAGAACGAAAAAAACACGCATTGGCAGCGTGATGCATAAATAAGTCTATGTATGGCACAAGTAACAAAAACGACAACTACAGATTGCGCCACTATTCGCCAGTACTTGATTGGTTAGCAAGGTATACCATAGGAAACCATAGCGTTAATGAAAGAAAGAAAAATAAAGAGGATTTTATGCGGTATTGCTGTTTAGATTTAAGATAGTGAAAGTGACATAGTAAATAAATTTTCTTTGAAACTATTGCGCAAGCAAAGATACAGTGGGAGTAATATTTCTTTTTTCTAGTTCATTCGGCGTTATCATTGGCAAGAAGAACAACGATGAACGACAAAGGTGCTATGTTTCGAGGATACAAGAATGTGTCAAGTACCGGAATCGAATCCAGTAATCAAAAAGAATCTAATGTATGTAAACAACAATTTCCTATTGTGAATACTGGGGGAGAAAGAGAGAGTGAGAGAGAGAGAGAGTGAGTTTTTTCTGTAAGAGTACTCATCTTTTTTCAACAATCAACTTCAATCGAATGATCGATCCATTCTCAACTGCCTGCCATCGTAACAATCATAAATCAGTCGTGGATTTCAATAACAACAATGATGATCTCTTAGGCGAAGATCAACCTGAACGGTTGGTGAACATCGCACAACTCTCATTATCAAATAAGCACACGCATTTGTGCGATGTTGATTATTCTCTGATACACCGTGATGACGGTACCAGTCCTCAATCGCCACTACATTCGGTCAAAACATTTGAAGAATTGAAGTTGGAACCCCAATTATTAAACGGTATCTACCATATGGGCTTCAGTCATCCATCACGTATTCAGGAACGCGCATTACCACAATTGCTTGCGTATCCACCACGAAATATGATTGCACAATCGCAAAATGGAACTGGAAAAACGGTAATTATCTCCGCACCGAAAAGTCTCGTCGATTGTTGACCATTTTGCAGGCTGCATTTGCATTAGCTACACTTAGTCGTATGGATCCCACGTTGAATCATGTCCAAGCATTGATTTTATCTCCAACATTTGAACTTGCATTGCAGATCGGCAAAGTTATTGAAAATATGGCAAAATTCTTACCACATATTAAAATTGCCTATGCTGTACGTGATCCGACGATTTCAAAACGAAATGAGTGTGTTAAAGGAAGAGAACTAACTGTTCCGATTGTGATTGGCACACCTGGAACGGTCGAGGATTGGTGTCGCAAACTGAAGATAATTGACTTGAAAAAACTACGGATATTTGTCGTGGATGAAGCCGATGTCATGATTAGTTTAACAGGTTTCTCACAAATTTGTATTGATTTAGTGAAAAGCACAATTGGAAAAATTTGTCAAACGATGCTTTTTTCGGCTACATATTCTGATGAGGTTTGCTTATTTTCGAGAAGATTTTCGTATTTTATTGGAAACTTTGATTAGGTGATGGATTTTGCGAAGCGAATCATCGAAAATCCAGGTAAGGATCATGTCCGAATGGAGATCAAAATTGTAATTCAGTACTGATTGTTCTTATTTCTTTCAGTAATCTTTCGATTAAAGCGTGAAGAACAATCATTAGCCAATATTCGTATGTATAATTCCTTTGGTATCATTTGTAGATCTCGAAATAATTGGTTGTTTAGGGCAATTTTATATCAAATGTAATAACGATGAAGACAAATACGATGCAGTTAGAACAATTTACTCTTCAATTACTATTGGTCAGGCAATGATCTTCTGCCGTTATAAACATACGGCTCATGCATTGACATTACGAATGATCAATGATAAACATTGCGTTGAATTACTTTCATCAGAATTAAGCGTTGAACAGCGGGCAGCTGTGATTAATCGTTTTCGTGAAGGCAAATTTCGTGTCTTAGTTGTAACTAACGTTTGCGCACGTGGTATCGATATCGATGATATTTCTCTAGTACTTAATTTTGAATTTCCACTTGTTTATGATGAAATCAAACGTTGTTTTGTTAATAAGCCCGATTACGACACATATTTACATCGCATTGGACGTGCCGGGCGTTTTGGACGTATTGGCCATACGTATGTTTGAGCAAAACTAAACTTAATCTATCATTGCCTCTACGTTCATAGATTTGATTTGGTTACACCTGAAGAAATACCACTACTTGAACAAGTCGAACGTTACTTTCAAAAGCCAATTTTAGAATTTTCAGAAAAACATATTGTTGAAGATGAACTGTATAAAATCTAGATTTGATCTTTTTCTGGCTTTTTTAAAACTCTCTTTCTCCCTATGAAATGTGACATGTTTGTGTGCGTGTGCGTGTGTGTATGATAAGAAATCGTTAACGAACAGAAACTTACACGAAACATTTTGAAACAGTAATAGGTTCTCTTTTGTATTTAGGCACAAACAATGGTGTCGCCGACAGTAAATAATAATACAACATCGCCATCATCACCGTCTGCTCAATCATCGACGAATGGACCGAAACCAGGATTAGCTTCATTAGCAAATGCGAAAGAGCCCGGCAATTCACCCACGAATCAACAGCAACCGGCAGTGGGCACTTTTCCTCAGAGAACAAGTGGGAGTCCATCGACAGTGAGTGGCTTTTCTCTACATTAGTTTTAGAATGTCGAAAAACAACCATGTTATATATATTCGAACATTAGACACATAACTCGTCACCATTTGGTGCTTCTTTCGGACAAGGATTTTCATTTACCCAACCTTCGGCAACGGCTAACTTTCCTACTATGTTCGCTCCAAATCAACCATCAGGAAACTCTGCAAGCTTTTCCTTTAACACAACAGCCACAGGAACTACTCCAAATTTCTCTTTTAATCCAGCAGCAGCAGCAGCAGCAGCAACAGGACCCACGAATCCTCCACGCTTTTCTTTCAGTAATGTCAATCCAGGACTCCCACCATCTTCTAATGTCAATCCATCGACAAGTAATTCACAGGCACAGCAGCCAACGCCTTCATTTGTGTTTACACCTTCTGCACAAAAGCAAGACACATCAAATAATCAAAAATCGCCAACTCAGCAAACAACGCAATATAATATGCCAACAGGTTATAAACAAGGTCCCGTTGCTCAAACATGTATTGCTCAGCAACCACAAGCAGTAGATCAAGATCAAGATGACGACAACCCTGCGGTGTCAATCGCTGAAAGTTCATTCTTATCGAAAATGGTGAATACAAAATTACGGGATACAACTGATGTTGTGATCGATCGCAGCGATCCAACGTCACCATTGTACTCAACCAAATCGTTCGAAGAATTAAAACTCAAGCCTGAACTCTTGAAAGGTAATTTTATATGACTGCAAACAAAGTGGATGATGATAATTCATGATCATTTTTGCTAGGTATCTATAATATGGGTTTCACTGCTCCCAGTAAAATTCAAGAAACCGCTTTACCTTATATGCTGAATAACCCACCAAGTAAGTCATCGAAGTTGGAACTGATAGCAGTACTTCTGACTCGTTCTTATTTTATTTCTAGAAAATATGATAGCACAATCTCAGTCTGGAACGGGTAAAACAGTATCGTTTTCCATTGCTATGCTATCCCGTATTGATCCATCCATTCCATCAGCGCAAGCACTGGTCTTAGTACCAACATTCGAGTTGGCTGTGCAAATCGGGTCAGTTGTAGAAAGACTAGCACAATTTCTCCCATACATTCAAATTGCCTACGCGGTTCGTGATGAAAATTTATCGAAGAGAAGAAATCGTGTTCGCAATCAACTCATAGAAGAATCGGTCGTTATCGGAACACCCGGAACGATAGAGGAATGGTGCGGAAGACTTCGTATAATAGATTTAAAAAAACTACGTGTTTTCGTTGTTGACGAAGCTGATGTGATGATTGCAACTCAAGGTTTTCGCGCCAATTGTGTGAATCTTGTCAATGGGATTAATTCATCTACTTGTCAAATGTTGTTATTTTCTGCTACATACTCGGATGAAGTGATGGAATTTGCGCGTGAAATTGTACAACAGCCAGTTGTTCTTCGATTGAAACGTGAAAAACAAACCTTATACAATATTCGACAATATTATATCAATTGTGCTGACGCAGAGGAGAAATATCGCGTCATCGAAAGAATCTACGCATGTTTGGATGTTGGACAAACAGTCATATTCTGTCGAACAAAACGTACAGCACATGAACTAGCTGTTCGTATGGCTAATCAAAATCACTCCGTCCGCCAATTAACAGGAGATCTCGAAATCGAAGTGCGAGCCGCCGTTATCAAACAATTCCGTGATGGTCTCTTTCGAGTTTTGATATCAACCAATGTCACATCACGTGGTATGTTCTACATGCGCGATATTCAACACAAATTCATCATTTGTACTTCTTCTCAGGTATCGATATCGACGACGTTTCATTGGTTATCAACTATGACATGCCGGTAACACAAGATTACAAGCCTGATTATGAAACTTATCTTCATCGCATCGGTCGCTGTGGTCGATTCGGTCGAACTGGTAAAGATCATATTATTTTCTTGTTATTGTCCAAAAAACACTCTGCTCGTTTTTTTCAGGTTACACATTTAATTTAATCGGCTCCGAGAGTGATTTCAATATCATGCAGGCCATTGAGTTATACTTTAAGCATACGATTGATCAAATTACTCTTGATGATATCAACAACCTCGTAACAGATGTATAATACATATTTTATTCGAATAGATTTCTTTAAATCGTGGCAAAATTTATTCATGAAAATAAACATTTTCTTTGTCTGATCAATCTAAGTATCGGACACTCACTATACGAACATTGTCAGTATTCAATAGGAAATCGAATCATTGGTAACGGAGTTTTTTTCACAGATTGAACTCTTGGTAAATGGTATCGAATATAGTCCTTTGTTGCCCAATCATTGTGTCTTTGTTGTTCGTCTCGAATGAATGCTTCAGTTGTGTTCATGAAATTTTCTTTGCGCACTTTTTGTAATCGATCTTTGTATTTTAATTCTTCACGATATTGTCGTGATCGACGTTCAAATGCATACTCATATAAATTCTTATGTTCAAGGATATTTTGTAGTGGTTCAACCGAATATTCTTTCGTTGTCCAATTTTTATTCGTTGATGCGTAGTAGAATCGATGGTTTTTCGACGCTTCCAATGGTTTTCGTTTATATGAAACAACGAGACCAAGATCGTATTTAGCATGTTGCTCAAACCGACGTTCTGCCATGTGAATGTTATGATCAATGAGACGAATTTGCCGTTGATACAGAGTAAATTTATCATTGAGTATTTCATCTTCTCGTCGGTTGTGTCGATAGGTGAGAATATGATTTTCAACGGAACGACGTAGTAAGTTTTCGCGTATACTTAGCTTCATAGTTACAGTTAAAACATATCGAAGAGAATTGTTTCTTGTTACGCTACTATTCCAAGTGTTTGGTATAGAAAAGTAGATTTCTTAACATGCAAAAGAGATTTGCTTCGATTGGAAATTAATGGAATATGTGTTGTTAACGAAGTAGCGTGCTTCATCTGAATAGCATTTTTCTTCTCTTTTTTATTTGAAAGAAAAAAGAAGAATAGATTTAAGGACACTCGTACGTCGAAGTAATTTTTGTGCTAACCTCGATTTGCCATGCACCTAATGGCTGATTTCCTTCGTTGCCATAGGTGCCCTGTGGAATATCTTGAAGAATATTTCCGATGATATTTAACGTCATCTTAACTGGTCGAATATGACCAGTGTGAGGGAAATCATAGAGATTTGAAGCACACTTTGTATGCGAAAGTGGAGGGAATGCAAGCCATGGCGAAACATTTGCATCGATAAACGATGAAAAATTGACTGTTTCAGGTGAACCAAATGGTAGTAAAGTTGGTGTTAACGGCACAAATGAAGCTTCGACTAGTCCATGTTCATATGATATTGAATATTTATAATTTTCAAAGTTAGCAGACATAGTAGCCTAGAAGAAAAATCATTGAACAGTTTTTGGAGTTTGAAATAGTGATTCAGTTACAAATTCAGCTGGAAGACCGTAGACAAGATGTGTAGCAAGTGTGTTGAGTTTACTATTTTGATAAATAAGAGGTTTCGACATCACTGTTTTATCCTTTCGAATTAAATATGGTATTTGTAACTTAAATTCGATGAATGTTTGCTCTGTTGCATTGGCTATAACTGGTGGTAATGAACTTTGTTGACATTGGTTTTGTTTATTAAATTCAAAATAAACGGGATGTTCATTAGTCTTCATATATTTTGCCAATGGATTGGATGAATTAAAAGTTAGATGCTCCTTGGATTTCGAGAGAAATCCTTGGAGGACAGATTTCGGAAATGGTTGAAGTACCCACCATGATGTAGTTCGACAATCAATTTCACCGGAATTGAAAGGTATCAAGCTGAGCAACAAAAACAATGCAGTCAACGTGACTATAGACATTTCTTTTTGCTTTGACTATATGAAACGCATACTTATATAGATGTGAACTGTCGCAGCTGCTCTCTATTATATGTTGGGAATAAAGGTTGCGTCGTAGTATCGTTTATTGTGAGTAAACTTTATGGGTAGAACTTGGTATTATCGAACTCAGAATTGAAGTGATTCGATCATTGATGATGAGATTCAAAATTTAACCTTCTTGGGTACACAAGTAAATAAATATTTCCTGATGCTAAAAATAGATTCAAAAAAGATTTTTGAACACCTGATTGATTGTTCCGAAACCAAAAATATTTCAGATCAATATCTAAATGAGGGATGACTAGAACGAGGACGCAGATGACACTACATATCTGATATCCTTAGCTTTACCTTCACTTCAGTATCGAGCATAGGAATCAGATGCTCACAATTCGTAAGTAAGAAAATAATGCTAGCCGCCGATCATCGACCTCAATTATCGTCTCATCAAGTCTTTCGAAAATAAATACCATTATGTTTTTCTTTTTTCAACATCGAGTTTTATTTTATCTCTTTAAACTAGATCGACGATTGCGGAAAGACGAGAAAAAGAAAAAAAGCAGATGATACGATCATCCTGACGTCCACAACATCACACGCCAGTGATAGGAATGGGAAATGTCTTAAGAGAGAGAGAGAAGAGATCAGTAGAGCGTCAAAAAGGTACAGTTCATGATCGAAAGTGTCATCTTTTCATTGAAGAAGTTTGAGCATCATAGTGCAGTCTGTAACCTCGAACGCTTTTAAGCCTGCAATGTTAGCTCTTCTCGTCGTGTTTGTGCTATCTTCACACCGATAAATCTAATTTTAACTAACAGCATTACAATAAATTCGTTACAGCAAAGAAAGCACATTGTCACAGGACAAATTTCGTTTACCACAACTAACATGACGCGTAATTTCATAATGTAAAATGTTTAATCTCAAGTATTCACAACCGCAAAGCTATAATCTATAACACTCAATCAACCCTTTTTTGTTGCTGCTCTTTATATTACACAAAAGTGTAATGTAATACATCAAAAACATAAACAGTTCTGATAAATGTTCATAGATAATATCGTATTACTAGATCTTTCAATCACCTAATATTGCATTCCAAAGTGAATGACATTGATAATAATTTGTTGAATGAGCAAATCATTGACTTTGGAAATTGTCAGATTTAATATATATAGGAGCATCGATGAGATTATTCATTGTCGATATAAAGAATGGATAATTCACGAAAAGATTTGTTGAGCGTGATGCAGAATTCTTCACGCAAGAAATTGTATAATGTAATCAGCAGGCGTGTATTCAACGTCAATAAATCTGTAATGTGAATATGTGATTATTGTTAACGATAGTTGACTCTATTCTCATAAGAAATGAAAAACAAGCTGAAAATGTTTGCCTTCTTTGTTAGTCGAATTCCTGAGTTTAAAAGATTAAGAATTACATAAAGATCATTCTCGAGAAATAGAGTAAAGATGAAAATTGGATTTAAAAACAAAAACATTCTTATATATCACAAGTAATTATCGCATCTTCAACATTGTGATGCTCAAGACAATTCAATACTTCATATCGACGATCATCAAGGACTATAGAGATTAAAGTGTTTGAAGCTAGACAAATACAATATGATTCCATATATGAATTTTTTCCTCATAGAAATGTCTGCGAAAAACAATTTGTAATAAAAGTTATGAGTCAAGTCGACATTGTTTAAATGCGTTCTCTTGAAAAAACTAGTTGACACCTTAACCCTCGGGCTTGCTGAACCTTTTTTAAAGAAACTACTTGTTCGCACATTAGAGTGTACAATGCATCATCAATCAATCGATTAAGATTTTGATCGCGTCGACATTAAAACTTTCTCGTGTGCTGCATTAGCGCTAATGCTAAGAATGATCCATTCTTTCTGTCTTGACGATGTGCGAGAAGCATAATTTTTCTCGAAAGCGTTCTATTCGTGTCATATGCATACTAGTGACAATGGTGCCGTTTACTCTTCGTTATTTTGAGTAAGTTTCTTGTTCGTTATACTTTTGTGTTCTGCTGTCATAAATTTCCATCTAAGTAAGTATTCGTCTTGTAATATGTTGAAATAGCTGCACGAGAAAAGTGACGTTATTTCCGTATATTTAACAAAATGAGACCGAGAAATGACAAATGCTAAGATGTTGCTTCGAGGAACTTTTATATCAAGCGAACATATAGAAGAGAAAAGTAATGATAGCAAATACAAAGACATAAAACCATCACAACACAATGTAATGAAGTGCACATGAAAACTGAGGAATAAAAAGTGTTCTCAAATTGTCCATTTCGGCTACAAGTTTTAAGCATTCGGGACAAGTAAACGACGAATAACCTAATAGAAACGTTTAAAAATCAACTATAATTTATTTTTGTTAATGTATGATTTCAACTCACTGGATCGTTTTTGCATCCAGCAATGAACTATGAAGAAAAACAAAATTTACTTGCACGAGACCGAACGGCTTTCGGATTGACTTACTTCTTCCTTTGTCAACTTCTTGTTACCGGTGACATCACAAATACGAATGATTTCTTCTGCACGATGTTTTGGATCCTGATCACCTACAATTCGAATATTCGACTTCTTCTCATTTCAAAATTTTCTCCTTTAATCTTACCTTTGCGATCAGTTTCACCAATAAGATCATACATCGCCTGACAAAAACAGATAATTAAACTGTTCATCTCCTCTAACGTCATTCGTTTCACTTACAGCAATAACTTTGGCCATTTCATTGGTATCGACTAAAATCAAGGAGAATAAAACATTCGTTTTTCGCACAATTATTCTCAATTTACTTGTTCCATTGTTATTGTAATCGTACATTTCAAATGCTAAAGCAAGACGTTCATCGAGATCACCTGACTGTGTCAGCGCAATTGCAAGCATGAATTCAGTGAAATCGACTATATAAAGAACGAAAATGAGAAATAGAAAGATTGTTTTTCTTTTAGTAATAATTGCCCACTTGTTCCGTTATTATCACGATCAAATGTTGCAAATGCATATTTGCAAAAATCTTTAGCTTTGCCACCAGGATAGAACTGTTCATAGACTGAAACGAACCGATCTTTCGAGAGTTTTCCATTTGGGCTTCAACAAGAACGCTCGTTAGAGAATATCCATAAAAAAAAGAAAATTCAAATTACCAATCTCGTATGAAACCAGCATGCCAGTCACGAATTTGTTCTTCAGTAAAGTCTGTATTGGCTTTGAGCATTTGAATCACTTTTGGTGTAAGAATTGTACTAGAATGCATTCACAAAATGCATTTATATATTAAATATTATCTTTCGAAATTTACGGATCAGTTTTGTTCGAATGTTTGTTACCCATTTTGAATTGCAATCTAAGGAAGAAAACAACGGAGACTTGTACCTAACGAGATTTTCGTTCGAACATACCAGTATTTGCAAAGGATGAAAAATAGTAAAAGAAACAAGATATAAATCACTCTTCGTTTATATGCCCCTTTCTTTTATTCTCCCATTTTCTATTTTTCTCTCTCTCTCTCTCCCTCTCCTCGCTGCATATTTAGTTTCATAGTGCCATATTGGAAAGAACGCCCCTTACATACAGCAACGACGTGTTATTATTCGACGAACGGAGAGGGAAACATTTTCTTTTGTTCTCGTTAAATAGAAGAAACACAAGAACTTCGAGTCCATCAAAACTATGCGAGCTTCTTTCTTTGTCTGAACTTAATTCAATCTTCTTATATTTGGTTTCTGTCCAATACTCCGACAGATAAATGAAAGACGCATCAATAAGTGCTTCTGAAATACGATTCAATCCAATAACGAGATCATATGTTTAATATAGGTGTTTTTCATGCTCTAATTTATCAGATATCGAGTACAACATAACAATTAAGTATGGCAAATGTCGAAGAGTATCAACAATGTCCTGTCATCTTTAAACCTTTTAATATGCATCGCATCATCTTTCTATTCTTCGTCGATAAAGACAAGAAAACCAGTTGACACATCACAAACACTGACACAATTAGGTCGACTAGTACACTATTGTTTCAATTCCATCGATGCCATAGAGATTAATCAATAGAATAAGATACTTGAATCTTCCAGAATAAATATGCGTACTATGTCTTAGCAGAAGCATGACTGATAAGGAGAACGGAATCAGACACAAGTATATAGTGTTAGAAAAGAAAAGAAAAGAGAATATTTATTGTTCTTTTGTGGAACGTATATTTATCCAACGGAAATAAAAAGGTACTTCAGGGCTTTTATTGATGAGAAGAGAGCGTGCTTCTTATGACTTCATGCTAATTACTGTCAACATATTTATTAAAACAGAAGGCATTGTTGGAGACCTATGGGCAGATTAAAGGTCGAATCAACCTGCTGAATTCTTCAACAATCGATCGATTCATTGAACTACTTCGAAGTACTTTCAACAACTTCTGATGATGCGCTTTGCATTTCAATCGTAGAAAAGAAATAATAAATATTGATGTCTTATTGCTAAACAAGTATATAAATTCACATGGGAATGTTTAAAAAAATAGTTCGGTAGAGATTCTCTAATCGTTGTTGAGACTATTTCTCGACTTCTAAATAGAAAAACAAGCTATACATTATTCATTGTAATCAATCATGACATACCACTATCCGCGTCGATACTTGCTCGACTAAAGACAAGATAAAAGAATGTAATTTGATTGCTAGCTGCGAATCTCTTTCTTACTTCATATCAATGTGTTGTGCTGCTGGTACTTGAGAAGCTGGTGCATTAGCATCTGATGTTTCATCACTTACAATTAGCGTCAATGTATCGATAGGTTGACCAAGAACACCGACTCTGTGACGATTATTCAATAGCTGATGAAAAAGTTTCGATCGTTCGAAATAATCTTACTCGTGTAAAACTTGAAATTCATCTTCAGAAATGACTTTTGCTTTCGTCGAAGATCTATGAAGATTTCTTATACGTTGAAGAAAAGAGGTATAGTCACACATACGAATTATCTTTCAAATTTCGGCGGGAAAATAATTCTGCACTTTGATCTCGTGATGTTGGCAATAAAGTAACTAGCACTGGTGATCGTTGACTACAAGAGAACTTCTTTAATTTTCAAACAAAGATTTTAACTGACTTCAATAATTGTCGAAATGACTGTCCGTGTCTATTAGAATCACCTGTAAGAAAGCAAATGACTGGTTTTTTTCAAAGAAAAGTACTTCATATTCATTGGTTTACTTGATTTGTTGTATTTATTCACATCCGCACAAGCTATAGTCTTCTGTAATCGAATTAGTTTACCAGTGGATGCAATGCTCTTTCTGTCACTATTCGACGAATTATCACTATTTCCACCACCAGCAGAATCGTTTGCTGTTTTACGGGTCGAACGCGTTCGAACTTGAGTAGCTATATAAATAATGAAAGACTATCATAGAATTCCATCGAAAGATGAGAATACACACTAGAATAGGCTGGATTTGGAAAGGAACTTGTACGAATAATTCTAATATGAAGATCAAAAAAGAAAATGATGCTCTTTTGTCGTAGACATATTCCACGCTTACCTGCCGATTTCCGTTTGTATTCCTTCAAAATATTTCCGTTCGTAAGTAATCCATACGACAAACGTTGAAAAAATCATCAATAACTAATGTCAAACATAGTTAACTAAGATTTCATTTCAAATAACCTACTTCTGCATAACCACGATCGATTAATGTTCGTGAAACACGGCCAGTGTACGGAATAATTTCTCGTTTTTTCGATAATGGATCAGTATCATCATATCCTTCGATCCAATAGAAATGGTGAAATTGTTTTAAACCCGTACCAAGCACGATATTACTATATTTCTGAGCAACAAATAGAAGAGCGGTATCAAGATGACCTTTGGCATTAGCAATTCGATCTCTCTCTTCGCGATTTAGTTCTCTGTAAATCAAAAATAAGCATTTCACACTATAGATCAAAGCTTCTTTCCATGCTACTTACACACAGAGTGCATTCGTCGTAACTTGTGAATCAATATATTCAAAATACCAATAGAAATAATTGATTAAATGTAAAAAGAAATCTTCCAGTTCTGGTCGCCGAACGAAACATGCAAATCGTTCGGGAACGAAATAGGTATCGCTGACCATATTCAAGGCAACATCTGCGCATACGAGAATTGACTGTCAATGATATATTACCTAATTGATCACTTACGAACAATATCCCCAATCGCAACAACTTTCTTATCTTTTGATACTTCGAGCGGACGCTTTCTGTAAGCAGGCGGACGTTTTCCTGGTGGTATATTCCAAAGATCAATTCTTTCCGAAACCGTTTCAGAATTTCTGTCAGTTTTGTCGTCACTGGGACTTTTGTCACATGCTAATTCATTTGTCTGTTCATCCCAATGCCAAGGAGATTGAAGATTCGGAAACTTCAGTAGCGACTAAAAATTAAAAACTGAAGTAGAGAAAACATCGTCATATCAGCCACTCCTTACTTCCATACTAAAACTGTCTAATCAATCACTAAATTTTTTTTGTTATTGACAAAACTTCCTCAGCAGCTCATTTACTATTCTGTTGTCAACGTTACCAGTGGTATCACAATGAATCAAAGTAGCAATTATAGTTATTATTAATTATATCTTAACACTTACACATTTGATTTTCAATTATTTCTTTCAAGATGTACTCCATTATCCGATCAGATGTCGCCTGCTGTCGAAACCAATGATCCGACGACCGGCACTACTCGTATAGAAAAACCTATTCGCCAGTCTCCTATATCGTTGAGGACAGGTCTCGAATAAAACTTTATTTTCTGATTCAGTTCTACTTGACAGAGAATGTTTGATAGGAATAATTTTTTGTAAGAAGATTATCACAGAACACTGCGCTGAGGTTAACATTTCTCTCAACAGTAACTCTTATTGAGATAATACGAACGAAGATAGTATTAAAATCCATGTCAACAAGTGTAAAAAAAACTGTCTTCGAACAGAGCTATCTCTAATTGCTAATAATCGATGTAATACAGACAGTGTCGACCTAAATCAACGATAATAATACTCCGGAAGTAGAAATATATGTCTTGCGTACATTATTACTACTGTTATATAAACAAAGATAATTGAAACTATAACTAATATCCATCGATAAATCGTACATTAATACACTCAAGTGTTTATACAAAATAAACACTAGAAAAGCGAATAAAACATCATTGAAATGATCTAATGCCTATTGAGTCGAACGACTGCATACATCATACATTTCCGTTTTGTTTCAATATCGTAAAAATGATCAATTTGTCTCATTTCAAATCGATGCCTTCTTCCATCATAAAACTCATCGGATGAAAATTGTCGATCTCATCATCTTCATTTTCTTTCTTGTTTATTTCCATACATATGTTAAGAACATTTTGTTTTTCTCATAACCGGAAAAGATTGTCTCAACAATGCGAGAAGACGATACACAGCAGGAGAGAAGAAAAAAAGAAATTAGCTCCTTCATCGACATATAATAAAAGATATCTTCCAATCATCGACGAGTATCAACATATAGAATAGCCAATATCACTGCATCTCTCCCCCCTTCTCTTTTCCTATCTGGCCATTCTATTTTTTTTGTGAAAGAGAAAAAACGATAAACAAAAGATAACCTAAATGAGAAGAAGCAAAGACGCGCTCTCTATTCGAGACGCTAATTCTTCTTTTCCCCATCGTACGAATGTATGACGAGCTTGCATTATGATTGATGAGTATAATTGACGTTCGTAGATGATATGCGCCAGGCGTGTACATCCACACATATATCTTCGTTGAAATAACCCTATATTTAGAGAGAACTCAAATTTCACGTGTGCATATGTCAAGATCGATTAAAATTTTCGAGTTGTTGTTGTTTCATTTTAGATAGAATTGTCATATGTCCTCGTTTGATCATATCATGACGACAAATACAGCAAATTTTTACTATCAACAATATAATCCTTCACAGTCAACGTTATTACAGCCATCAACTACAACAACATCATCGGCGGCAATAACAACGAACAATACGGATTTGACCAAACTGGATAAAGATCTTATATATAAGTATGAGAAGACGAATTTAGATGAAATTCACTGAATGCATTCAATTTCTATTCTAGTCATCCACTCTTTCCACTTTTGGCGATTATATTTGATAAATGTGAACTGGCAACAAACTCATCACGAGATGCAAATAATCCGAATTATGCTTGTTCATTGACATCATTCAATGAAGATCTGATGGAATTCACCAAACAAGTAAAATTTGAATTTCGTCTTCGAACAGATATTCTTATCTATCCTATCTGTTTAGTTAACCAATGATCATCTACCATGTCATACGTCGAATGCAGAAGTTGATAATCTAGTATGCTAAATATTGATAATTTTGCATAAACTAGAGAGATATACTCTGTTTTAGATGGTTCAAGCAATTCAAGTTCTAAGATTTCACTTGCTAGAATTGGAAAAAGTCCATGAATTATGCGATAACTTTTGCCATCGGTATATTCATTTATTGAAAGGCAAAATGCCAATGTGAGTTTCTTCGCTATGGTCAGCAAGAATAATATTTTGCGCCTTCTTTTCCAGGGACATCATAATGGATGATCGAGATTTAAGTTTTTCGAAATCGGAAGATGAACAAAGTGAAATGAGTAATCATGATTATGATCAAGATATAAAACCGGTAAGAATGTGTTTTTGTCATAATGATCATGAGAGAAAAGTGTGTCGCAACCTTCATTATTGATTGGAAAGAATGATAAACCTAAGGATTCGATTAAATCATATCTAGTTGCGGTTCGATGATTTCGTTCGCGAAAGAAGAGATGTTAATCATAGATAAATCTAATCTCTAAACTTGAATCAGGTGCGTCCATTGTCTCAAACATCAACAAACGATCATAATCAAACAATAAAATCCAACTCGGATTCGTCCGATTCACGAAGTCCTGTTCACCATCCTCACCAACCACAATTTCTATCATCGGTTCATCCACCTAACAATTATATGACATCATCATCATCGTCATCATCATCAACAGCAACAGCAACGCCAACAGCAATTCAATATTCTCATCAATCAATTGATGAAACAGATAAAAGTAGTGAGAATTTTGAAAGTTCAATCGAAGGTGATTATTATGAAGAAAACGATGATAATAACAAACGTCGACAAAAAAAACGAGGCATTTTTCCCAAAGCAGCAACATCATTGATGCGTGCTTGGTTATTTCAACACCTTAATGTAAGATCGATCGAAATGATAGATAATTTTGACTTAACCATCAATGAACATTTTGCTTCTTTTGTTTAGCATCCGTATCCATCCGAGGAACAAAAGAAAATTCTCGCTCGAGAAACGAATTTAAACATTCTACAAGTGAATAATTGGTACGTTCGAACATTTTTTTACACCGTTGTGCTTCAATAATCCTTAACTTGCTCGTCGATCGATGAGATGGAAGTGTCGTAATCGTTTGGGTTAATCAATTCACACAGTTCCGTTCCATCTCATCAATTGTTCGCGACGATCCGTGTTAAAAACAGTTAACGCTGCGGAAATTTTCTTTTTCAATCATGCAGCTGTGCTTGATCTGTATACATGCATCCACAACGGTCATTAGGATTCTTCTTCTTCTTCTTCTTCTCACAAGGAGATGATGCTGACAGTCATTAATCATTTTCTTTTTTTTTGTTCTTCGATGTTGTAAACATAGTGTTGACAGGTAGAAACGTCTGTTTGACGGATTACGATAAAAGAATCAATGCAGCTGTTTTAGCTATTTCCAGTAAAATATCATTTACTTTTCTTTAGGTTTATTAATGCTCGCCGAAGAATCGTCCAGCCAATGATTGATCAATCCAATCGAGCTGGTAAGATCAGATATTCAAGCAATGAACTGTTTTCTCTGTCATGAAGCGGACTTTTCTTTTCCTATAGCAATTACGCATAAAGGTTCGTTAGAAGGTTGAAGAAAGTTTTCTCGCATGTCATGCATGGTCCATCTTTTGAAATCAATTGAATAGAACCAAAACAAGCATGAGTTCTTCATCCGTTTGAGTTGTCCTGTTAGTTTATCGTTCTCTCGAAGAGAAATTCGTGTAGTGTCGTGTTTAATCTAATGATTCATACAGTGTTCAAATTAGTTCAATATAATCGATTTAAACCTTACCTTTTAGTAATGGGATCGGATTATAATGACATGATGACGACAAATCCTTATCATACGTTTGATCCAAATCGAACACCATACGGTTTTCAACCAAGTATGCACAATGAACTTTTGCTTGTTTCATCTGAGTGTTCATCTTTTTTGTAGATCTTTATGATGAAATGGCTGCTTCATCCGTATACTGTCCGCCGCCACCACCTTCGTACTCTGCGTGTCCATCGATGCATCCGAACTCATTTTTCGCTGCTGCTGCCGCTGCAGTCACTGCGGTTGGCACGAATTCTGCATCGCTACCACATGGAATATCTCCCTCATCTTCGTCGCCTTACCGTGGACAAGAAAGTGGAGAATAGCGACGAACATTTTCGTTTTCTTTTTCATCTGTTCGAGTGTGCATATATACATACATGTATGTTTATTATATCTGTTTCGTTTTGGTTAAATTTTGAAAAATCTATTATATACTGTGATGTGAATGAAGTTCTTAATATTACTAAAAGTGATTAACCTTTCAGGAAGTCGATACTGGAAAGATCAGTCGGTAGACAGCTTTATTCGTCGCGTGTGAGAGTTCTTATCAATTTGGCCTCGACTGAATCTCCGAATGAAGAAAAAAAAAGAAAAAACACGAACGACAAAAGCAAATAGGAAGACGAATTTCATGTAATGTGATGCGTAGGTAAAACAAGTAGAATATCGAAGAAGAATAAAAAAAATGCAGAGATAAACAGAAAGGAAGGAATAGAAAAAAGAAACGAGAAAGAAACCGATTTTTTACTAATACGTTTTATGTTTCATCAAAACAAGATGCACGCGAACTTTTAGTCAAGGTTAGGATCTTCTTATTATTCTTATTATTAGTTTTCGTATTCGAACTCCAAAGATAAAAGTACGAGTTTTACATATTCGAATGAAAATGTTCTGTTATTAAAAAAAGCCATTCTCATTCTCCAGGTACCGAGATAGAACATTACTATGGCGAAAATGATCATTGATCAAGCTCTATCTCTTATTCGGTCTGGTACACGTGTGTTTGTGCATGGTACGTAGAAATTCAACGATGCCAGCTAGTCGTTGCAAGATGATATTAACTTTTGACCTAAATTGGGGATATCAAGATTCGTAGAACTATGAATTGAACTTGTCTGTGTCTCTCTCGAGAATCTCTCCGTTGATGAGATAGAATTCTTTGATAGTTTTTGTTGTTATTATCATCATTAGGATGTGGTGGTCCTCCACGATATCTCAACCGTCTACTAGCTAATCGTGCTGGTGATCTACAACGAGTGGAAATTATCAGCGTTAATCCTCTGGATGATACATTTACCAATCCTGAATTAAAAGACAGTTTTTTCATCAATAGTCTTTTTGCTTCATCTTTCGTTCGCTCGTCGATTGGTAATGGTGCGGCATCGTACATTCCAATATTCTTAAATGAAATGCCTCGACTATTCGACGAAAATATTCTTCCACTCGATGCTGCCTTGATTCAAGTTTCGCCGCCCGATAGACATGGCTATTGTTCACTTGGTATTTCCGTTGAAGCTACGAGAGCAGCTGTGAGAAATGCGAAAAAAGTCTTTGCGCAAATCAATCGTCATATGCCGCGCGTGCATGGTGATACGTTTATACATATCGATAAAATTGATGCCTACGTTGAATACGATGAACCATTGATTGAATTGAATGAATTTAGAAGACAAACTCAGATTGAGAGAACCATCGGCAGAAGAGTAGCAGAATTAATCGAAGATCAAAGTACACGTAAGCTGCAATGAACGAAAAACTTGACACGCTGCGTATTTCTTTCTAGTTCAATTAGGAATCGGTCCCATTCCAAATTCTATCTTAGACTGTCTTAATCATCATAGAGAATTGAGTATAGCGACCGAAGTGTTATCCGACGGTGTTATTCCATTATTAGAGAGTGGCGTGGTTACTAATCGGTATAAGACGTTCCATCCAGGTAAAACAACATGTACATTTATATTGGGAACAAGAAAACTGTATGATTTCGTTAATGATAATCCAAATATTCTTGCCTTGGATGTTACAATGACAAATGATCCGGCTCAAATTCGTCGCAATCCACGAATGTGCGCGATCAATTCTGCATTGGAAATCGATTTGACTGGACAAATCTGTGCAGATTCGTTAGGAACAATGCAATATTCAGGTGTCGGTGGACAATTAGACTTTATGCGCGGTGCCGGACTAAGTTATCATGGAAAGCCGATCATCACTATTCCGTCACAAACATCCAAAGGTGTATCGCGAATTGTCAATACCGTAAGTTTCGAGTCGATCAAACTTCTATGGGAAATTGAACTTCTTCTTTCGACATAGTTAAAACAAGGTGCTGCCGTAACGACAACACGTGCTCATGTTCATTATGTGGTAACGGAATATGGTGTGGCGAATTTATTTGGGAAAAATTGTCAGCAGAGAGCAAAAGCTTTGATTGAAATAGCTCATCCAAATCATCGTGAAGCATTAGAACGTGCTGCATTTAAGCGTTTTAAAACTTTGTACTAGCACATGTTCAAGGAAAGATTGTATATTTGAATAAGTTATATTCGTTTCTTTTCGTTCATGAAACTAAGAGAGTAAAAAATTAAAAAGCACTGTTTTACAAAAATGATTTCGTTAACAGACATAATCGTCTTTGTTCCGATGAAATTTAACAAACAGTTTGACCATTCGTTCGTTGACTAGCGCCATCTGTCAATACTGACCACTTTGAAACTTTGAGAAAATTGCTGTAAAACTCGAAAATGCGGATATTTTCGATATGAAGAAAAAAACAATTTACAAGATATTTCTGAACATGTACAGTCTTTGACTTGTTACTTACGAACAAAGACTGGGAAAAGAATTGGCTCATTGAGCTGTCTCTCTTGTCTGTCTATGTGATTGAATCGATTGTGGGCAGTCACTGTCTTTATTGTAAATATGACAAAACCAACGCTTGCTCAACTTCAACATGAATTCGATAAACGATTGAAATTGTACAATGGTACAAATGAAGTTTCCGATCTTTGGTTACCGTACGTATAACATTTTTCACTGAAACAACAGTCAGTTTATAACTTCGCTTTGTCATTGATAGTTTCTTGGTCGCTGTCCAAAATATCTTGCCGGACGATAACAATGGCGAAAATACGTTATCTAATAATCAAATTCTCTATCCAATTTGTGTCAAATGTTTGGAAAAATTCGAAAACAATCCCGAACAAATTACGAATAAGGATTTTGCAAAAATTTGCCTTCTGATTGTAAGTTCATTGTAGATGTCATGTGCTGGGCGTTGAGTTTCTTTTTCTTTTTAGCCGGATATGTCCGTTGACAAAGGTTTGTGGTATGGCTTATTCTACAGAAAACAAATTGGAGTGCAATATGCACAATTATGGATTGATTGGGCCGAATACATCGAAGAACATGAATTAAACTGGGCCGGCGCGTGGGGTATATATGAAGAAGCGAAAAAATTCATACATAGTGCTAATGAATGTGCTGAAATCGACGAAGCCTACCGGTTTGCTCAGATTTCGTTCATGTAAACAGTCCTTATCATTCGGATTTTCTTTTCTTCAGTTCGTTTGCCAGCCGTTTTCAAGAATGGGATCAAAAGGGTACGTTCAAGTGTCTTTTCCTTCGAGTCATACGTATGGTCATATCTTAGAATATGCAAGAGAACAATCAACTGCTAAACCTAAAAATCGAACAACTGTTACTAAACGAACGACCCAAACCCGTAGCTCATTCGAGATTATGATGGCTGCCGAACCAAAAACAAAACGATCGCCGATACGTGCACAACCAAGTTTCGATACTGACGACGATCCAGATTGTCAATTATTACCAGAATGTCGTGAAGCAGTTCACCTGGAATATTCTCGGTAAGTAAAGAAGAAAACATTGTTTTCGTTTTTTTTTTTGGAAAAACTGTCAAATCAATCTGATTAGAATGCTGGATATGTCGAACACGAGTTTAATGGGTGGCGAGCGTGTTAGTTGTGTTCCAAGCAATATCCGACGTGGATCAATAGTACCACCGTTGATGAATATATTCACAATTGATCAAGTTCTTCGCCGTCAATCTCATGTACCTGTTAATGACACTTTGGATGAAAACTTTCTTGATGTTTCCTGTATCGTCGTCGACGAACGTGATCCATTTGATGACCAAATTCGAAGACAGATCTTGGAAAAGCGAGGCGTCAATTATGCATTGATGGAAAACTATTCAGTGGAAAAAACGAATCTACCAGCTGGCTTAGCAAAGAATAAAGTAGGAACAAAAGTCGAAAAAGTTACATTGGGTATGTTCATCAATAAAAATATGCATCTGTAGATAAACTCGATGATTTTTCAGGTGGAACAACATATGAATTCGGAAAGAAATTAGGCGAAGGTGCTTATGGATATGTTATTACTGCACGATTAGCATCTGATCCGAAGACGACATATGCTTGCAAGGTATTCGCAGTTATTCGTAAAACTTCCGATTTATCCTGCTATTGATTTCGTCTAGATTCAACATCCATCAACTGTGTGGGAATTCTATATTCTTTCTGAACTAGCACGACGTACGATACGCAAAGCAGGGCAATTTGATCTCGTGCGTCATTCTTTTTTTTTCAGTAACTATTTTCTACCATTTCTCCTTTTTAAGAATCAACGAATTCCAACTGTCTATCGACTTATCGAATACAATGATTATAGTGTTATGTTTATGCAACGTGCGCCTCAAACTTTACTCGTACGTACATTGGATTAGTTAGATCTCAAAGAGATAAAAAAAAAGATTTTGCGATCAATTTTTATTTCGTAGGACTTTGCCAATTATCATATTAGTCGTGATCGATATGTTCCGTTGTGCTATCAACTTTACTATTCAATTGAGATGTTACGTATCTTTGATTACATGCACCGTTTGCGTATTATTCATTGCGATGTAAGCTGTCTTTGTTACTTCGAATGTAGCATCATTTCTTTCAATCTCTTTTATATGAATAGGTCAAGCCAGATAATTTCATGGTACTTCATTGGTATGTTCAGACTAGACCGAACGAATTCATTTCATAATTGAACTATTTTCTAGCCCAACAGCATTTTCAACGAGAAAAGATAGCTGTGGTCCGATCCCGTCACTGATGTTAATTGATTTCAACCGTTCAATTGATTTGAAATTATTCGATAATGGTACAGCATTTGTAACTTGTGTTCCCAAAAAAGAATTAGCCTGTGTGGAAATGTTGCACAATCGTCCGTGGATTTTTCAAGTAATTAAAACAGCATCGAGTAAAATTTCAACAATGAACTTCTCTTTCTATCTTTCCTAGCATGATTTATTCGGCATGGTCTACTCAATTCACGTACTTGTTTTCCTTAACTACATGACAGTATGTGAAGATGAACAACGACAAGATGGAAGTATGACGACAAAGGCGAAATTTTCGAAACGTACACACGATATTTGGAAAGAATTCTTCCATGAATTTCTCAACATACCCGACTGTCAACATTTACCAGATTTGAATGCTTGGGCTGACCGTTTAGAAAGCTTATTGTTTGAAGAAGCTAAACGTCTCAGACCGAAAGACATCGAATACACCAATATGTTTCGACTGAAATTAGATACGTACCTCAATCAATTTCAACCAACGCCACCGGCAACGGCACCAGCGCCAGGTCAATCTCATTAAATCGTGTATATGATTTGATTTCGATACATATATCAATGTAGATTATAATATTTTTCTTTTCTTCTTCTTATACATACATATATATATATATATACACGTATAAATAAAACGAAATAATTAGCCTTGTGTACTATGAATGGAATGACTTCGATTGCCTTTGGCTGTAAAACCTGTGGGAAATCGAATATGACATTAGATAAGTAGAGCTAGTTACGTTTTTCCCAGCTGACGCTTTCTCTCATGAAGGACATTCGAGAACAGAAAAACGAACCACATATCATTTTTTAAAATACGAACATGATCGAACGGTGGACTTTGGTATTCTTATTATTTTTATCGGAAGTTTCTGGTTCCTACCAGAATAGGAACCCTAAATTTCCTCCACTTAATTTATACATCGGCACAGATGGTGACGGTTTCGGTGCAGGTTCATTGCCATTGGGAGTTCAAAGTCCATATGGTGCTCTTCGTCTAGGGGCTGATACAAGTAATACTCTAGATATTCCAATCATATTCGATCACTTAGGTGGCTATCATTATTCTGATACACACATCAATCTCTTTTCGCATACACATATGTTTGGAGCTGGTGTACAAGATTATGGAGAAGTTGGAATCATGCCTGTTCAAATTACGAATAATAAAGAGCTACAAAAGATGATTTCTAAAGAAAACGGATATCGTAGTGCCTTCCGTCATGAGAATGAGATAGTTGAACCAGGTTACTACAAAGTTCAGCTTGATACACATAAGATCAATGTCGAACTAACGGCCACGGAACAAGTTGGTGTTCATCGTTATTCGTATGATCGTATAAAAAATAAACAACCTGCCATTCTTGTCCATAGCAGTTATACCTTACAGAAAGGCGCATGCAATCATAGTCAAATCAAAATCGATTCCGCTAATCATGAGATAACAGGTTCGATTCACTTTCGGGGTTCACTTTCAGGACGATTTGGTGGTGTAACGACTTACTTTGTAATTACATTGAGTAATTGGGGTAAATTTGGTACATGGAGTAATGGAAAAATTACAGAAGGACAAACAGAAGTTGATGGATGCTCAACGGGTGCATATTTCATTTTGCCCGACGAAGAAACTCAAGCAACAATGTATGTTGGAATCAGTTTTGTTTCCCTTGATCAAGCGCGTACGAATCTGAAAGTTCAAACCAATATGTTCCAATCATTTGATGAAATTCGAGCTATTGTTCAACAAAAGTGGCTGGATGAATTAGGGCGGTTTGAAGTACGATCCTTTTCATTTCGCATTTGAATAAAACATTATCAGCCCACTTCTTGCCGTTTTCTGTTTAGGTAAGTGCGCCATGGGATTCTGACGCTGAAGTCAAATTTAATACAGCTCTTGTTCATTCATTATCAAGTCCAACACAATGGGACGAATCCAATGGTGTTTACCTTGGTTTTGATGGGCAAATTCGTACCAAACCTGATTATATGCAACATATCTATACCGATCTCTCGATCTGGGACGTATTTCGTACTCAAATTCCATTCATTATCTTTCACGATGTACAACGTGGTAGGGATATCATCTACTCAATCATGCTCATTGTTGCACAAGGTGGAGATTTACCTAAATGGCCATTTGCCAATGGTTACACAGGCTGCATGATTGGTTCACATGCCGATATCTTGATAAGTGATTTAGTAATGAAGAAAGAACATGATAATAATTTAAATTTCACTCAAGTTATCCAATCGTTAAGGAAAGTAGCTAATCAAAATCAGATTCATGACAGTCGATTTGATCCATCAACATACATTCAATATAAATATGTGCCATATGATATGGATCAACATTCTGCACCACTAACCTTGAGTTATGCATACGATGACTGGGCTATCGGAAATGTCCTTAATGCAGCTGGTTTAGCTGACGAGGCTAAGGAATATTACCAACGATCAACATGGTTCGAGAACGTTTTTGATCCTAAGACGAAGTTTTTCTGTCCAAAGAATAAAACTGGTGTTTTCCATTGTCCCGCGAATGCACTAGAATTTCTCGATCCATTTGATAACAGATACGTCGAAGGTGATGCTTGGCATTATCGATTCTTCGTACCACATAACACGCCACGTTTGATCGAACTATTTGGTGGAAAAGAAAACTTTCTTCAACAATTGAACATATTTTTCGAGCGTGGGCAACCATGGACCGATACACTATTACCTAATCCATATTATTGGCCAGGAAATGAACATGATCTTTTCTCTGTTTGGCAATTTAACTACGTTAATCGATCGGATCTGACACAGAAGTATTCCCGATGGTTATTAAATCATGCTTATACAAATCAACCGAACGGATTACCTGGTAATGATGATTACGGAACGATGTCAGCTTGGTATATCTTTACTAGTATGGGTTTCTATCCTCTATCTGGCTCATCAACGTATTTAATTGGCAGTCCGACATTTGATCGAATCAAAGTCTCTCGTAATCAAGGTAGATGCAATCTTCTTATCAATGTTCATGAGAATTCTCCGAGTAATATATATGTTCAACGCATTTTATTGAATGGTGAACCTTTAACAACCTTTCCATTCATCGATCATATAAATCATTTGAAATGCACGAATGCAAATCAATCAACTGTTCAATTGGATATTTTTATGTCACCAACTTCTGTGTTTTCTCTTGATAAATAAATAGAAAAACATAGAAAAATAACCTCTAACCTGTCGTCAAGATGGACGAGTTCAAAGAATCTCCACCGACATTTGTCTCAAGTGATTTTAGATAATTGATGTGGTAATATCAACGAACGAGAAACTTTTTCCCCCCTAACAGAAAAAAAAGCGCAACAGTTGGTAGAATGTGTATACATTTATGTATGTGTATCCAACTGATGAACAACATGCTCGATCGACGATGAATATCATTTCTCGGGAGAGAGAGAGAGAAGAGAGAAAGAAGGAGAGAAAGAATATCCAATTTGCTATGTATTCAATCATTTGATCGGAGAAACAGAAGAAGAGAACAAATCTTCATGTTTTCTTTCCTGATATTTCTATCTTTATTAATCAATTCAATATTTACACGAGCGAATTCATGTTTATTAGTAAATAATAAATTGATGAAATATGACATCCAGCTGATCGTACCTTCTGAACCGTTCCTCGGGTTGAAACTATGTGAAAATTTGATCAACGATACTTGTTGTCCACAACTATATGAAGATCAAATACAGAATGCCACAGCCATTGAACTGTATCAATTGTTCGAATTGTATTCAATTCGTTTATATGAACCTCTGCTTAGTCTAACAAATCAATTCAATAGTTTGTATACAGAACGTTAAATCATGAATCGTATTTTCCATCTTTTTCGTTTAGATACGATTAGAAGATTAATTGAATTATCTCGTAATGCAACATACTTTCGTTTTCAAGATGAATATCATTCGTCAGTCGAATCATTTTTTAATAGTTTATTAACAGTAAATTATAAAAATTATCAGTACGATATTCAAAACCATGTTGACGATTTCTTCCGTCAAATACTTCGGATATCGATGGAATCTGATAGTGAGAATCAAGCGAGATTATCAACATATCTCGTATGTCTGTGGAGAAACCATCCATTTGGCAACCGGCCAAATGTTATTGCCAAACAGATCGAAGCCAATTTCGGAAAATTATTACATTTGAATGAACTGTTAAAGTTAAGTCTTGAACTTGTTCAATTCATGTCAATGGTAAGTGAGGAGAATGTTTCATTCGTCATCTGTTGTACCTTATCGGTACAGTAATCGAATAGGTGTAATCATATAGTCAAAATTATAGACGAGCCGAACGATATTCTCTGTAATTATGAGTTAATTATAAACCTAGAAAATCTGATGTTCTAAAGCTTAGTAAAGAGATCTTGTTTTGAACAAGACTCGTTTCAATATCTCCTTTGTTCATTTCATAACCCACTAATTTTCACACTGCTCAATTATTCGTCGTAAGGCGTGAGACACGTTGACACAAGTCATTATCGATCGATTAACTTTCGATAGAGAGTGAAGAAGAAAAGTGTATGCATCGGGGATGAGTTCATGTCGAATTGTTGATCTATTGATTTATTCAAAGAGATAATATTCAATCAAGCAGAAAACATTCGAAGTCACTTCAATTAACTTGACATTATTGTTGAGTTTTGAACGAGAAAAAGAAAATCATATTGACACGCAATCAAGTTTAAACTTCTTTGTTTATTCATGCGATAATTATCATTTAATCTTCGATAACATTTGACTCAAACCGAAGACGTTGAATGACTAAAGTTGTGAATCATCTTGTCCACAAACGTCGTTTTAGATTATGATAATTCTTTATTGTTTCTCGGTCTATTCTAGAGTGTGACTACTGATAATCATTGTGTTGATTCTTATATGCAGTTAACTTATTGCAATTTATGTTCCGGACGAACCGAACTACCTTGTTTATCCAGCTGTATCCATACGATCGAAAGTTGTCTTGTAAATATTTCTTTAATCAATGATTTATGGATGAACTTCATTGGTAAGAAACGTCTAGATACATTGACGGACATGATCTGTCGATCGATGATTTAGATTCATTGGATAGCATCGATTACTTTAATGGAGTTGAAAAAGTTTTCTCAACTATCAGCACATCGATCTTCGATGCAGTAATGACTTTTCTAAAGTCAGATGGAATTTTAAATCAAGATGTATGTTCGATTATCTCAATTTTCTGAGTATTTCTATGTATTTCTGTTTAAGATCATTGATCAATGTGGATCTGTACCAATGAGAAAAGAAATTTTTGATCGTAATCAAAAATTCCAAGACGAACATCATACTTCGTTATCTTTGCTTGATGAGCAGCTGATGTCTATGAAGCAATCATTAAAAATATATAGATCATTCTGGTTAGGTTTACCCGAAGAAATTTGTCAGACAAAGGGAATCTCAACTTCGAATGAAAATCTGTGTTGGACAGGCACAGCAATTTCAAACGAGAAAAAGTAAGGAAAGGAAGTGTAGTTGACAGGTGAGAAGACTTCTTTTCTGTTTAATAGACAACCGATTATTAATAATTATGATAAACCTTTAAATTTGCGCTTACAATGGATATTGAAAGAAATACGAGAGAAATCACAAACGCTTCGAAACAAAAAGGACTTGCCGTTGGGTTTGTATTGAGTTGATAACTAAATCTACTGTTCGTTAAACATATCTGTGTGTTTTAGATAATTTAACACTAACGAGTACGAATAAGACGTTGGAGGATGCGGTCAAATTAAATTTACCCGATGATTTAGACGATTATCCAAATGATGATGAACTTCACTATTCCGATTATGCATACGAGGATTCTCCGGATGAATCAACGTCATCCACAACAATTCGAATGACGTCAACTGCTACTCTTGACGACGACACGCTAATCGACGACATGAATACTGTTTCTTACTATGATTATGCTGAACAAGATCTCTACAGCGATGAACATGCCGATGTTTCATCTACTCGACCAGCTTCTTCAAACAATTCGACAATAGCAAAACCAATTCCTTCGCATCATCAACGGCAGCCAATTATTTGGAATATCAACATTGACAAAGAGACTTCTACTGAACGGTCAACTCCACAACCTAACAGTTGTATTTCTCTCCATCATTTTTCTCTATTCTTCTTCGTTCTACTAGTTAGTCTTCTATTTCACCTTTGATCCGTTTCGTTTTTCGACCTTTATTTTTGTATATTTAAATACACCCGTCTTTGAACTTCTTTCATACGACACATTTTTGTACTTAATCATACCTTTCGATAAGATTACACGAGTACAATTGTACGTTAAGTAAAAGCCGCAAAGATGCGAATTGATAAGACAAAACAAGTGCAGTGCGTGCATACTATATATCATTGTTATTTCTTGGTAAGAGATTGAATAATATCTGCGCATAGACAGATAAGATCGGTTATCGAATCCGACCGAAGATGTTTAGTTACCCAATCTTTTGATATAGAATATTAATAAATTGGATCGTACTCTCAAGGCGAGACAGATCATTTATTTATGAAGCAAAATAAACATATGCTTTTCTCAGAAACTCAAAAAAGCATGACTTTTAAGTTTTTTGTTAGGATAAAAAAAAACATCCAACATTTCTAATCGATGTGAGAAAAATCATACTTGGTAGGGAAAAGTTTACGTAAGATCCAAGGTCTCTTTTCTTGTATTTCATACATACACATATATTGGATGACATACTATGTTCTGTCAAACAATATAAAGGAAATTGTTAATAGAATTTCTGTCTATTTGACAATGAATTTGACCGAGACGATACGATAGAATGTACATAAACTGAAATCATAATCCGATTCTTCTTTGCACGTGTATGGATCAAATATCTTCATTAAAGATCGTCGATGAGACAAATTTGCAAGTAATCGAAAGCTGCTTTATATTTTATTTAAAAGAAAAATAATTGCTGAGTCGCTCTAACATTCTTCACCGATTAGTTCGACTCTGATTGATGTGCTCATCATAGCGCCCTCTTCGCTGGTTATTTACATAATAGTGCTTCATTCAGTTAATGTGATAGCTCGTTAGTATCTCCTTCGAGAACTACATGAATATGAAGACTAACATGGTCATTGTGGTTCGACTATTCACCTTTTCAGTTTAAAGAACTCTTAGAAAAATCCATTCTTTTCTCTTTTTGCTTCAAATCTGTCTGTCTAGTATAATTGTCAATTGAGTTCGTCGTCATAGTGAGCTTTGTCGTTGCTTCTTCTTCTTCTTCTTCTCTTTCTCTGGTCTTGTTTGCTCAGTGGAATATGTGCGACGGTATGTGTGTGCTTCTTCTTCTCGTTTTACTACTGGCTCTCGTACACATTCATTACATGAGAAAAACTCGTAATTTTCTTTCTTTTTTCTCCTTTTCCTTCGTTCTTTTTCTCGTATTCTTTTAGGGAAGTGGTTCTTTCATCCAATTTTTCTTCCATTGAACAAGATATCTGTTAGATGAAGGAGAAACTCTAATTGAGATAGATCATGAACAGGTGTGGCTTATCGTGTTTTAGATCAATGAGCATTTTGTTCTCGAATCGAACATTTATCTTTACTTGCCGTACGCGGGTGCGCAAGTAAGAGTTTCTCTTACGTATTACAATTGAACACAACTGAGAAGCAGTGTAAGAAAAGCAAACGAACCGTTTCACCATGATGTCGAACAGTTCTTGTGAAGAAAAAATAAGTGTAAGTTGCTTTTTGTTTACTTTAGCTGCACTGATGTTCGAAAGAAATTCATCTTCCCATTAAGACAATGCGTTTCAGACAATAGACAAATAGAAAAAAAGGCGAATGAAAGTATACCTGAACAAAATTTGAGATATTAAAAGTGCATCGATGATGTCTACTTTGCTTTTCTTTTTCTTTAACCACTTCACTCAAGTATCTCCATTATAAAGAGAAAATGAAACGAATTTTTCGATTTAAAGACGACATGTCGAGGTCTTCGATGCTTGGTCGTTTGTACAGTTGGTTAAGTAGAAAATTTTGTTTACAATTAAACATTCACTAGATATCAATCCATGTTGTTAACATCGATAAAAGAGAGCGAGAGAGAAAGAGAAAGGAGAATTGCGCTTATCATTTATCGGTTTCTTTCAGTTGGAGAGGACAATTTTTTTTTTGTTTCGAAAATAAATCGTCAAGAAAAACAAAGTATTATTTCGATAAAAAAAAGAAAGTTATCTTCTTTACTCTTGTCCTTCTCTTGTTTCGCGTATATTGACGTCAGGACGATCGACATTGTACACTTATTCTGCAAAAAAGAAACGAAAAATATATGTTGTGATTTGTTTCTATGTAAGAAACAAAGAGAGAGAGAGAGAGAGAGAGAGCGAGAGAGAAAGAGACAGTGAAAGAATTTTTTTCATTTTGCTTTCTCTTTCTTTTGGACTATTGAAAAAAAGTTCTTATCACTGATAGATTAATCCCGTAAGATTGCGCTTTTTTTTACACTCCTTCAGAGCTATTTCACACACACGAATGTGGTTAGACGAAACAATAACCGTATGTGTTAATTTCCAAATGATATCAATAATCAAGCATTTGTTTCTTCTATTAGCACTATGACCTGTCTCGCGAACTTGGCAGAGGTGGTTTCGCTATTGTTCAAGAAGCCCGTCGAAAAGCTGATGGCCGCCTTGTGGCTTGCAAAATAGTAACTAAATCTCGAATTAACAGAAGCATTTTATTTGGGTTGACATTTCGTTTTTCATAGATCGATAGAAAGAAGCTTGAACAAGGAAGTGTACAGCATCATCCGTCGTATGGTCACCATCGTCATGGTCTGCCAAGTTCACGTTCGATCTCGTTACTCGATCGATTGAATGCTGAAATAACCATTCATCATCAAGTTAAACATAGCAATATAGTGGAATTGTTGAACTATTTCTATGATGATAAATGTGTTTACTTGATTCTCGAACTTTGTTCGTGTGGTGATTTAGAACGATATTTAAAAGAGAAAAAGTCACTGAGTGAAGCCGAAAGTATGAAAACCATCGACTTTGTTGTCGATGAAAATTAAATACGCAATTCATTTGTTTAGCACAACATATCGTTAAACAAGTCGTAGATGGCTTGGTGTATCTTCACAATCATGGCATTATACATCGAGATATCAAACTATCCAATTTACTTCTCACTGAAACAGCAGAAGTCGTAAGTAGAATTCATTGTATTCGCTTCGGACAAGCACTTGACTTGACTATCTAGGTACTTTCTTTCTCACATTGATTAATCATATTAACATATAAAGCCTTGCATTTTCTGACTGACAGATTCTCTATGAGTGATTTGATCGCGCACGGTGAATAGAATCAAAGACGATAGAATTCATTTTCTTCATTGTCAAATCTGTTCGAAAAGGAAAAGAATTTCAAGTGCTCGAATAATAAATTTACATATGTTGTTTATGTTTAATCTGTCGCATCACATCGATTTTGTTTTCTTTTTAGAAAATTGCTGATTTTGGTTTAGCTAAAAAAATACAATTAGCACGTGATCAAAACAATGAAACTATGTGCGGCACGCCAAACTATATTTCCCCGTAAGAAAAACGGTTTCACATCTGTGGCATTACCTTACTTTTCTCTTGTAGGGAGATCGCTAGTCGAGCACCACATAGCTTCTCAACCGATGTCTGGTCATTGGGGATTCTTATTGCTACCCTATTAACTGGGCAACCGCCGTTCGAAACGGATAGTAAGTGAAGTTTGGTTTGAGAGGAACACTTGAATATATTCATATACGTTCGTTTGTAGCTGTGCATGAAACATTAAGTAAAGTTACGCATGAGAAATATGAACTGCCAACAACATTCAGTGAAGAAGCTCAAGATCTTGTGAATAGTACATTGAGAAAAACAGCGGAATTACGGCCAAATATCATTGGTTTGTTTGTTTTAAAATCGTTGATAAGACTGTAATTTGTCGTTCGTATTTGAAATATGTAGAAATTCGTGATCATCCATTCTTCTCCAAAGATTTCTCACGTTCACCTCAATCCAACAATTACAAATTCGCATCGGTAATTCATCACTATTCGAACATTCCTATTTCTCTCTAAAAGTCCGCTTCTTCGTTTCAGTGGGGTCTTGCTGTCGATCGATCCCATGATAGTGGCTTTGTAGAAAACATCGGACAACAACGTTCAGCAATCAGTACTATTTCAAATAGTACATCACTGAACAAGGGAAGTCATGCTCCTCGTGTATTTTCGTAAGTTGCTCTTACTACCTAGAGATAGGTAATATTCTTAACTTCCATTGAAGACCTAATCCGACATCTCCTCCTGGTATATCGCAGCACAATGAACCGATATTTAAAACAACGCCTAGATCAACTCGAGCCTATGACTACTATCACACACATTCACTTCAGCAATCAATAAATGCTGGACATAAGTATGTCGATCAAATAGACGAAAAGAGAAAATCTATTCACGTTTTGTCTTTAATAGTTCATCATTGGACACATCGACAAGAGGCAATGAATATAATTATAATCCCACAGTCAATGTCATGGACCATCGTCCTACAAGTGCTACATCATCTGTGCGATCTCAAGATAGTGGTGTACCACAATCGGATCCGAAAACGTCGATTGATTGCAGTGCAAAATCCGAATTAAGCGCGAAAGTGACCTACACGAACGATGGTCAATTGTCGACATTGAGACCACAGCGACTGTCATCAGCAAGTTCGTATCAACATGCGTTGAATTATCCAGTACAAGAACAAATGTTTGATGCGAATGCGGAACAATTGCGTGAAAAACTTCAACCACTGAATACTCAGAGATTGAAACCCCACCGTCAAGCAACGAAAACTTTGATTGTAAGTGATTTTTTTGCATTTTAATTTTACATACGGCTGCCGTTTTTTTTCAGATGAATATTATGGAAAATGGTGAAGTTGTACTTGAAACAATGCGTACAAAAAGTACAAAACGTCGTATTGTTGATGTGTTTCGTGTATCTAGTGACGGTTTACACATAATTACTTACATGCCCAATAGTCGACACAGTTCACCAGTCGGTGAGCATCCTCCACCGATTCCACGTGATAAAAATGCTTATCAAGAATATCATTTCGATCGATTACCACCTGAATATTGGAAAAAATACCAATATGCTCATAAGTATATGTCGCTCAGTAGCAAAAGTTCCCCTCGCATGATTCGTTTTTTTTTCGTATAGGTTTGTGACATTGGTTCGCTCGCGAACACCGAAAATAACTCTTTATACAACCGAGGCAAAATGTTCGTTGATGGAAATCGGTGTTGAATTCGAAGCAATTTTTCTCTGCGGCGTGAAAATCAACATCTATCGAGAGAATTGCAAAGCTGACGAACCGTTAAAGATGAAAATTCTAAATAACATTGATAAGTCGGAATCTTTGTTGGAATACGATCGTGTAGCCACACCGAATGTCTCAGCGATTGAACATTTCAGTCCAGAGATTCGGCAAATTATTGATAAAACTATAACTGTAAGTCGATAGTTTGCACTTCAATGTCTAGTAATGGAAACTAATTTGATTTTAGTTCTATAAATTCTGTTTATCTAACGACAAACTTTTCGAAGAAAGTCAAAAACAATATCCCTCAATTCAAATATTTCCTGTTCAATTCGGAAAGAAACATGTTCAACCGGATGCCAATCGACCAAGTAAGGTTTAGTAGGGCACCACTGTTTCTCTCTTATAACCCAATAGAACTAAACAAAGCTATTCGAGCATTCGTTCAGATACATCAATGTAATTGCTTGATAAAATTTTCATCAATCAGAAACATCTTTCTCATTGATCCATAAACGTTCTCAGAAGAGCGTTAATGTATAACTTCTTAAAGGACGCGAGTAAACCGCCTGGTCAAGGCCGTGTCAATCGACCTCACATACTAATTTTCAATGAAATGTATCGATATATTTTATTCATTGTAGACACACCATGTTCTGTTGGACGAAATACGTTGAGCAAATTCGGTGGTTCGTCGTCGACTATTAACGAACAATGTATAGTACCGTCTGCATCATTTGGTACTTGCTCCCAAATGCTCTCTACTCGACCTGACTTTACTTCTGACATTGACATTCGACGAGCACGAAACCCGTCTGCGGCCGCTTCGGGGCCGCCGACGACAAACATTATGCGCAATGCTCTACAGCATTCGAATTCGTCTTCAACTTTACGCACAATAGACTCTCATCATCAAGTTTCCTATGCTCCTCAATCATCCGTACCAATCGCAATTCCACGTTCTCAATCAGCACATCCAGTTCAAGATGCCTCGTCTCTTTCGACTCGCTCGGCATCAGTTAGTTCAACACCGAGTGGTGCTACCCTAATAGGCAGAACATCAGGAACCACTTCGATACCGTTAACTCGAAAATCGATCACAGAATATTCCAATCGAACTTTTCGTGTAGTATTTAGCGATGAAAGTGAAATGATTATCCGAGCTGACTCTCATGATAGACAAATCTTTATCGATACACAAGGTAAATATCATTCATTTGATCGTCGACAAGCCGATCAATCTGAAGCAATTCAAGAGCGCTTAGCACTCTTCTATCAGAATGAACATGATCTAGTTGATAATTCTCCTTGACAATAACAGTAATCCTATAGAAGAAGAAAACTACCAAGAGTACTTTTTCTACTCTTTAGAGACAAATCTCTTCAACATATTTTTTTGCTAAAAAGCAAACATGTTATTTTTGTTTTCGTTTTCTATTTGCTTGTCTCTATTATTCCCAATAATAATTGTTTGTTTTTCTTTTCAATATGCATGCACACCTATCAAAAAGCCTACGGAATTTTATTTCAAATAAAAGAATAATTCACAGGAATACATTCGTGCACCTGTCGATCATATGGTAGAATAGAATAGTTTCTCCCTTTTCCTTGCGCTTCTGTTTTGTTTGTTTATTTAAGTCCTACAATTCTTGTCGTTCTGTTTCTGTTCACTTCCAAATTTATACTGAAGTATCCGTCCATTGCGTTTATTTCTGTTACTATTTTTTTGTCTTCTATTTTGCAGTGTTGTTTTATGTTTGACACGGATTTTTTTAAAAACGAACAAAAGTCAGGAAAGTAATCATTGTTATTTCTGTGAAAAGAACACTCAATACAGGCAAAATACTTTTCAATGGGTTCGTTACTATGTGAAATGTTTTGGTGAGATCGTAAGAGTTTATTTGTGCAAAAGTTTCATTTTTATACACTGTACACAATACGAAGAGCTAGTTTTAAACATCATTCGTAGAATTTATATTATGAATTTGTGCTAGAAGTGAATAGAAGTTCGATGGTAGTGATTGTCGAAGTTTCGCCTTTTTCTCAATTGTTGATGATCCTGGCGAACATTTGCGTTTCTCTCCACGAGTTTCACAATCTTCTTGATTAACTTGTACTTTTTCTGTTGAACAATCTTCGTTATGCATAGTCGATGGTTGATATGGAGATGAATGGATTTTCGTTGAAATAACATTGGTTAGTAGCTGAACTATTTGAAGTTGATATGCACGATCTTCTTGTCGACGTTGTAATTCTAAACTAGTTTGTCGTTCAAGATATTTATACCAGCGTGCCTAAGGAATGGAATACATAGTTAAATCCTAAGGCCTAATTAATATCGATTTGTACCTCTGTTTGTTTCTGGTATTCTATCAATTGATAAATTGCTTGTGTGATTTTGTCATCCGTTGATGTACTTGAAGGAATTTCATTATGGTTTTCTTGTTCGAAATCGCTTATATCATCGTTTTCTTCTTCCTCCTGATCATCGTCATCGCCATCGTTTAGTAATGATTGAGAATTCGATAGAACTGCCGGCCCATTAGGATCATCAGAACCGGAAAAAATGCGATGCATTTCATTGTAAAACGGACATGGACGCTGTTGAAAAACTTCACCACGTTTAGTAGCTTCATTCGTCTGTCGGTACATCTTTTTCAATAGTTTGATACGCATTTGGCATTCTGAAAAAATTTGTACACAATAATCATTCACAGAAAGAACGAACGTGATGATGACTTACGATCTGCTGAACGAGTTATTCCATTGGATTGCAATTGATTAGCGATATCTTCATAAATACAGCGATTGCGACTGTTTAATCGCAATGCCGTTTGCGTTGCTGAGTCGGCCCATAGACGAATCAATGCTTCAGTTTCATTAAAACTCCAACTGATTCCTCGTGGCATTATTTGCTTCTTTCAATAGTCAACTTTCTTTGTCGCCGTATCAAGCGTCTGAATAGCACGTTCACAGTGTATGAAAAAGGTCAGGAAAGGACAACATGTTGCTCATTTCAGACTAGGATAAATTCGTGTTCGCCAGCAGAATGGACAAATTTTCGATGAACTTATGCTGCTTGTCTGTTATTGACAGTGAACTCATTTTTTCCTCTTCGTCGCGATCGTCGAATGAATCAGATGACATAACATTGAACGAATACAGACTATATATTTTTCTTTTCTATTCCTCAGCTTTTCGGTTATACAGGTCACAAAACTAGATAAAAAAAGGCGAATAAAATAAATGTTTATCATAGCGATTAAATTCTTAAACGAGTTTGACAACAACTGTTTTCACTTCGTAGTATGATTCAAGACCGTATTTGCCCAGTTCACGGCCATGTCCGGATTGTTTGAAGCCACCGAATGGAGCTTGGTTGCTTACACTATGATAGGTATTTACCCACACCGTTCCAGCCTGTAATCTTTGGGCGAACATCATGCTACGTGTCACTAAAAAATATTCCAAATAGAGATATACTGAAAAAGACGGTTGACTTTGTTTTTTCCTCTACGTACAATCGTTTGTTATGACACCAGCTGCTAAACCAAAGGTGGAATCATTAGCTCGTTTGATAACGTCATCATACGAGTCAAATTTTAGTACTGACATTATAGGTCCAAAGATCTAAACAATGTCTCTTGCTTTTTCAGATATTTTACAGTAAAAAAATAGCGTACTTCTTCACGAGCGATTTGCATGTCATCTTTGACATCACTGAAGATCGTAGGCTTGATAAAATAACCCTTGCTACCAGCGCGTTCACCACCGCATTCCAATTTGGCACCGTCTTTCTTACCGGATTCGATGTAACCTAATATCTTGTCGAATTGACTTTCATTAATCTGCACGAGAAGAACATTTTTCAGTACAAATCATACCTTATATGTATTCAGTCTATACCTGTGGACCTTGTACGGTATTAGAGTCAAATGGATCACCGACAATACGTTGTTGGGCTAGTTCAATACTTTTAGCAATGAACTTATCATAGATCTTCGCATGAACATATGTACGAGAAGCGGCAGTACATGTTTGAGCGGCATTGAAGAAGAGTGCCATATGAGCGACTTCAGCAGCATAGTCAACTATTTAATAAGACAAGTAACTCGTAGAATAAGCAGTCAAAAATAGGACCCACTGTCGGCATCTTCACAAATGATCAAGGGTGATTTTCCACCTACAGTAGCACAATACAAAAGATATTGTTGATACCGTATTTACTGAAGTGAACTTACCTAGTTCAAGTGAAACGCGTTTGAGATTCGATTTAGCTGCAGCTTCTTGCACTTTTTTACCAACCTACAAATGGATACACAGATGACATACATATATTTTTAAGTTCTTACTTCAACCGAGCCAGTGAATGCTACTTTATCAATATGTTCATGAGCTGCAATAGCATGACCACATTCAGGGCCATCGCCTATAATATTAGTGAGTTCCGCTTACGTGATCAGCTGGGAAGAATGCCATCTTTTACCTGGAATGATATTAACCACGCCTGGAGGAAAGCCAGCCTACATTTACATCACAAAACGACTATGCCAGAGGAGAAAACACTGGGTGTGAAAAACATACTTCTTTAATAAGGGAAGCACAATAGAGTGCAGTAAGCGGAGTTTGTTCAGCTGGTTTCAGGATAATGACATTACCTATTTTACCGACAAAAAACTTCGCTCAGAAACTATACAATATGTACTAACCGCATGCCAAAGCTGGACCCAATTTCCAAGCCATCATGGCTATCTAAATGGAACCAATATAAAAATAGTTCTACGTCGTAGTAAAATTGAATATACCGGGAAATTCCTATAAAAATAAAAACTCATATTGTTATTGCAGACCAATAAAGATTTGAACCTACCATGGAATGATTTGACCACATACACCGATTGGCTCATGACGAGTGAAAATCACTTGATCATGTGCTCCTGGAATCGTCTCACCAACAATTTTATCGGTCCATCCAGCATCTTAAAATCATAACCACATTGAGTCGTCGGTAAAAAATCAAAATACATACAATAGTCGATACAGTTAGCTGCCGAGTAAATGTCGCCTTCACTATTTCCTACAGGTTTACCGTTGTTGAGTGTTTCCAATTTCTACAATATCACTAATCTTTGCCTTCAACTATGTCACAATCTAAGACTCTTACCGATAAATAATCGATGTCACGGCGAAGTAGTTGTGCAAACTTGCGCATCAGATTACCACGTGCAGCTGGCTCTAGTTTACGCCATGGCGATTCTACATCGAAAGCCTTGCGAGCAGCTTCTACAGCTTTGTCAACATCAGCCTAGAATCAACCACAATAAGTTTTGTGCTCACACACTCACACATGTGTGTATCGAAGTGTACGTACTCTGGTAGCTTCTTCTACTTGACAGATTTCTTCGCCTGTGCTTGGATTGATGACGGGAAATGTTTTTCCTTTGACTGCTTTGTGCCAGTCATTGTTGATAAAGATCTGTGTATATTTGATATCAAGTTTTGGTGGATTGGAATCGGTGGATGACATCTGAAAGACGAAACAAGTGAAAAATGAGGTGTATTTATGTGTATGAGGTGGATTTGCACACAATAAAAATAACGATATCATCGTTACGAAGGAAAGATAAAATATCGAGATACAAACCCCTAGTCCATCAACATAGATTTTATTTTCGTTTTTTTTCGTTCTCTGCTTACGAGGTTGTGAGGGCTACAAAATAAATACTAAAACATGGAAAGGTTACTATCCTTCTTATGCGAAAATTTTAGTAAATCAATCAGTAAAGCGTGCGACTAGCGAGGAAATAATATCGGACATAAAATGATCGGAGTTAAAATGATAAAAAGCAAAACAACGAGAGAGAATTGTGAAATTTTGAGCGAAATATGTATCCATTTTTGAATACTGCGACCGAAGAAATTGTTGGAACTAAAAAGTGAGTATAGTTCATTTATGGTCGTATATGAGATTGATTTCGATGATCTGAAACTCCATCAAGTGGGAAAATAATAAACACTGAAGTGGAGGGTAATATATAGTATTTCTCCCCGATTCTATCAAAAAAGGATTTATTTGCCACGATGAGAGCGATCACGGAAGTGTTTTTCTGCTTATTATCGCTTCTTATATACGGGAATCGATCCTATAAGTCTACTATATTATTGGTAGTATAGATCGACTATAGAACGCCTTTTAAGCTGACAATGATGAATACTTTGTGCTTATCGTCGACGACAATCCAGCCTGATAGGCGAAACGTACTGTAATAGTTAGAGTGTCATCCGGCTTACATTCTTTTATAGTGAGAAACAATGCAGATGTGGATTGACATACGATAATGTTTACTAAAATAGTTGAACTACATGAATGTGAAAAGATCAAGCAAGCAAACCCAGATAAAAAGTTCACTGAGAAACTATCCTATTGCAAATTCAGACAAGTTTGACAACAACTGTTTTCACTTCATAATATGCTTCAAGACCGTATTTGCCCAGTTCGCGGCCATGTCCGGATTGTTTGAAGCCACCGAATGGAGCTTGATTGCAAACAGCATCGTAATCATTTACCCAAACGGAGCCAGCTTGTAATCGTTGAGCAAATGTCATACCACGTGTTACTAGAAGATAGTAGACAAGATCAGTTTCAATCTTTCTTTGATCTATTCTTTGCTTACAGTCTTTTGTTATGACACCAGCGCCAAGTCCAAAATTTGTACCATTAGCTCGTTTGATAACGTCATCGTACGAGTCAAATTTTAGTACTGACATTACAGGCCCAAAGATCTAAACAATGTCTCTTGCTTTTTCAGATATTTTACAATAAAAAAACGCGTACTTCTTCACGAGCGATTTGCATGTCATCTTTGACACCACTGAAGATCGTGGGTTTGATGAAGTAACCTTTGCTACCAGCACGTTCACCACCGCATTCCAATTTGGCACCTTCTTTCTTACCGGATTCGACGTAGCCCAATATTTTCTTGAATTGACTTTCGTTAATCTAGAAGTACGAGATGTGTGCAATCATTTTGCGACTAGAGTATATCACTCACTTGCGGTCCTTGTTCAGTCATTGGATCAAATGGATTGCCAACAACACGATTTTTAGCTAATTCGACACTTTTAGCAATAAATTCATCGTAGATCTTCGCATGAACAAATGTACGTGAACCAGCGGTACAGTTCTGGGCGGCATTTGTGAAGATAGCTCGATGAGCAACGCTCACAGCATAGTCGACTATTGAATAGACAAAGAACATACGTAAGCATCTGTTCAATTTGCTTCTTGAACTGTACTTACTGTCAGCGTCTTCGCAGATAATCAATGGCGATTTTCCACCTGTATGAAGAGAATGAATGCTAAAAATTTCAGAGATTTGCTGCCAAAGACTTACCAAGTTCGAGCGACACCCGTTTAAGGTTTGATTTCGCTGCAGCTTCTTGAATTTTTTTTCCAATCTGGAATTAAACAGCATGAAGTCAGAATTCTATTTCTTATAACGGGTGGTCCAGGATAAATGAGCGCCTAAGTATTTCGGTGACATCTTCCTCGTGCTTCATCTGATTGAACCAATTTTTTTTTTGAAAGACGCGCCGTTCAATTCTCTCTCAACGGTTANCGATTCGTCCGGATGTTGTTCGGGAAAGTTGCGCTAGTTGGACGAATCGCTTGTATCGGTTGTCAGAAAATAATGGAGAATATTTGAGAGATTAGGAAATAAAGCCTTTGCGTGAAATCTGACGGCGATTCTTTCAAGACAAAGAACGACTCTATAAGTCAAAAATTGACCGAGATAAAGCGAAAATAGTCAGGCGCTCATTTATTCTGGACCACCCGTTACTACTGCTCTCACTTCGACTGAACCAGTGAACGCTACTTTATCAATATGTTCATGTGCAGCAATTGCGTTACCACATTCAGGTCCATCACCTACGATCATACGTTAAAATGTCAATGTTGTCTACAATATATCAGTTTTCAATTTACCCGGAATGACGTTCACAACACCTGGTGGAAAGCCAGCCTACATTTACATCACCGAATAGATTTATTAATCAAGAAATCTATCTATTAAATATACTTCTTTGATGAGAGAAGCACAATAGAGTGCACTGAGTGGAGTTTGTTCAGCAGGTTTAAGAATGATAACGTTGCCTACGATATCAATAAGATAATTTTTCGCATGGATGTGAACAAGATATGAACTAACCGCATGCCAAAGCTGGGCCTAATTTCCAAGCCATCATCATAATCTAAAGGTATCGTTGTCTATATTATACCAAAAATATTTGACAAGAAAAAACAAACCGGATAGTTCCTACAAAGATTTGTAAGTAGTTTATATACATACAATAATCAAACTTACCATGGAATGATTTGACCACATACACCGATTGGTTCATGACGAGTGAAGATCACTTGATCATGTGCACCTGGAATCGTTTCACCAACAATTTTATCGGTCCATCCAGCATCTACATTTATCACAGTATTGACATTCGTTGGAAAACTAGGAATAGCACTTACAATATTCGATACAATCAGCTGATGCATAGATGTCGCCTATACTATCTTCGACTGCCTTGCCATTGTTGAGTGTTTCCAATTTCTACAATATCACTAGTCTTTGCCTTCGATCATGTCACAATCTAAGACTCTTACCGATAAATAATCGATATCACGGCGAAGTAGTTGTGCAAACTTGCGCATCAGATTACCACGTGCAGCTGGCTCTAGTTTACGCCATGGCGATTCTACATCGAAAGCCTTGCGAGCAGCTTCTACAGCTTTGTCAACATCAGCCTAGAATCAACCACAATAAGTTTTGTGCTCACACACTCACACATGTGTGTATCGAAGTGTACGTACTCTGGTAGCTTCTTCTACTTGACAGATTTCTTCGCCTGTGCTTGGATTGATGACGGGAAATGTTTTTCCTTTGACTGCTTTGTGCCAGTCATTGTTGATAAAGATCTGTGTATATTTGATATCAAGTTTTGGTGGATTGGAATCGGTGGATGACATCTGAAAGACGAAAGAAGTGAAAAATGAGGTGTGCACACAACAATAAAATAAGGGTGTCGTCGTCATCTGCGCAATGATAAGACCAACACGATAGATCCTGGCTTATATATGTTATCGTATTCCCTCCTAACATTACAGTACGTCACATACTGTCTTTTTCTTTTTTTTTTCTCTCTAACTATCGACTGACGTGTCAGGCATATTCTTCATTCTTACTATATCTAACGAGAATAAATAGTAAATAGAGGAGAAAAACAGCACGTTTTTTCTCTCATGCAGAAGCTGCGACGAAAAAACAGATTGCACATGTATTGCGAAACTGTCGGAGTGCTCTTTACTACTGAATATATTGACTGATCGAGGTTGCAGTATTTTAAAACGAAAAATGAAGGTGACTAACACTCCTAATCTGTGCAAAACACAGTTGCTTTTCGACAAGTAGGCTTTTCATTTGACGGTTGGACTGATAACGGTAGTTAATAGATTGAAAATAAACCGTTCGACTTAGTTTGATTGCGATGTTAATCATCACGTGTTAGTAGTCGATAAAGAACGGTTAGTCAATGTTATTTGAGTACAAGATTTCAATAAATGTAGAGAATGATGAAATCTACAAAGAGGAATAAATCAACAAGATATATCAGTTGAAAAAAATGATGAAAAGCTTTGAATCCATTTTAATCGAAACAATTTTGATTTCGTAGCATTCATTCAATCCGTATCGTCCTAATTCACGACCAAGACCGAATTGCTGAAAACCACAGAATGGAGTTTGAAACTGTATTGCTCTATACTGATTCACTCATACGAAACTTGCTTAAAGTTGTTCAGCAAATTGGAACGCGCGTGATACTAGATGGTGCATACGACATATACGGACATCGAGCAAACTTCTATTCAACATACAATCTTTCGTTATCACGCCAAATAATAAACCGTAGGTTGTGTCATTTGCACGTTCGATAACTTCATCATACAAGTCAAATTTGAAAACGCACATGACAGAACGAAAGATCTATCTCATATGAGTCGATTCAAGTTATAAAGGTGATAAGATAAGGCAAATCTCTTTACGAGCTACCTTCATATCATCTTTAACGTCAGGGAAAATCATCGATTGAATAAAATGACCTTTGTCACCCGCGCGTTCACCACCCCGTTCAAATTTAGCACCAGATTTCATTCCAGCTTGAATGTAACTTAGAATTCTTTGAAGCTGAACTTCGCTGATCTAGAAAACATAGGCTATGTCGACTATGAGGTGAATTATCGAAATATTTTCACTCTATTTGTCATCCTTGATCAGATTTGGCACCGACCGGATCAATGTCTACTCGTTTTTTGCTAATTCGATACTTTTCATCACGAATTTGTCATACATTTTCTAATGAAGAAGTATACGTGACGCAACACAGCACACCTGAGCAGCATGTGTGAAGAGGGACTCATGTGCTATTGTGACCGGCAAGATCGACTAAAATGAACGATCAAGAACAGATCGTCAAATTCAAGTAAAATAATGGTTTTACGTACGATCAACATTGTCGCAAATGATCAATGGTGATTTATCACCTAACCAATAGAAACAGTAGCTATACGTATATCAGTTACTAAGAACGAGTTCACCGACTGAGCTCCAACAATACCGATTTCAGATTAGTTTTACCAGCAATTTTCGGAATTTTTTTACCAATCTAGAAAAGAAAATAGCATATATTTCCCCCTCGTTTTGTGATCATATCTTACCTCAACAGAGCCCGTAAAAACCATTTTATTGATCTTGTCATGCGTCGCAATTGCATAATCATAACTAGAGCTGCCGCCTAAAGATTACCATAGTCATCATTTTTCTTAAAGATATCCTGCAACCTGCCTGGTGCAGTATTAACAACACCTGGTGGAAAACCAGCCTAAGTAAATCCAAACAAAAGCTATTGAAATCAAGTTCCAGTCACAGTAAGTGGTGCTTGCTCTGTCAGCTTAAGAATGACGACATTAGCATTTTTGTTTTTTAAGAACTTACCGCATGTCAAAGTTGGACCAAGTTTCAACACTAACATGAGTGTCTGCTGAAGAATGATTATAAGATTTCTGGTCATATACACATAAGTGATCGAATTTACTAAATAGTCCTTTGTAAACAAAAGAGAAAAACAAAGCCAGTGTTTCAGCAGTGAAAATACACAGTTTACCCCGGAATGATTCGTCCACAGATGCCCTTTGGTTCATGCTGAGTATATTTGAAAGTATTTGGTTCTGATGGTAATGTGTCACCAGCAATCTTATTAGCCTACCCAGCATCTAAATTAATAGTGTTTGTTTAATGAAAGACAACCAGAAGACAGTCAGTTGTTACAATAATTTAAACAAGCAGCAGTGCCAAGGATTTTCAGTAACTTTTTCCTCTTCGATTCTCTGCGACTACTTAATGTTTCAAATTTCTAAATATAGATCAAATGATAATCGCAATCGAACAAAGACGATCACGTCGAACTAGGTCACCAAATTGTCGTATTAAATTAGCTCGTTTCATCGACCATAACTGACCTCATGGTGAACCACGTTGAAATGCTCTTCATACAGTTCCAACAGTCTTGCCAATATCGATCTAATGAAAATGGTCAAATCCATCTCAAACAAAAACTAAAATCAGTCTTCACTTGAATACTTTGGTGTCTTCTTCTTCTACTCGACACATTTCTTCGTCTGCGCTTAGGTTGATGACAGGAAATGTTCTTCCATTTCCCGCATTGTGCCATTCGTTATCAATGAAGATCTGGGTGTGTCGAATCTCTGTCTCAGAATTCTTTCGAAGTAGTCTAAGTATTACAACTAGCAATGCGTATGGCGATTATATATCATCGTTTAACCTGAAAAAAAGAAGAATGAAAGGATATTAACTCAGTAAACATCTAGGACAATGAACGAAAATTCTTTCGTGTACTTTGATAAGTAGATCGATACGATGATAATCGCTGGTATTCTCGTCGTGTTGATCTAATTTCACAAAAAGTCGAATTTATTTTATAGGAAGAAGAAAAAACGTGACAATAAGATAAACAATCTTTCTTTTAATTGGAACTAGATATGAATAACAATATGAATATGAAGATGAAAAGCAATTAGGACATTGATAATTTCACCATGTGGGAACAAAAGATACAGGATGGATAAATAATACACAATAACCTTCTATTATATCTCGAACATACTACTTCTTTTGACGTTTCATTATTCTATCACTTATTTGACGTATATTCGAATATATTTGATCTTGATTCACATCAGTTTCAGAGACTACCAATCGAGTTTGGTTCGTTCCAACTATTGGCTTGGATACGACCATAAGCAGATCAGTTAAAAAGTCACGATTGCCAAGAATTTCCACATGTGTGACTGCGTACTCGCCACCGCGGAGAGCATCTTCAAGGCGCGTCGTCAAGATATCAAACGTCGTTGTTTTATGTATATATTCACGAATGATTGTTTTCACTCCACCAGGGTTATGAAAACCGCCTGCTTGTTTCCACGGGCCTGCACACATATGTCCCAATGACACCAATGGCACAGTTGCATCGCCTGGACCAAGATACACGCCAGATTTGATATGAGGAGCAACAGTATGCGAAGTGTTAAACAAGATCAAGGCACTCGAGCAATGGTCAGTGTGCGGATAGAAACTATAGGAATATCCACTGGAAAATAAAGAATAATATAATCATTTCTAAATAGGATAGGAGAGTTTCTTACCATTCAGTCATTGGTTCTTTCACATATCCATACACTAGAAGGGAATATAAAGCAATAAATCGAGACATTTTTGAAAAGCAGTTAAACGTACTACAGTAGATTTTAAGATTTGTCACATTAGGCAATGGCGTGGAAAGTGGATCTGTCCAGTATCTTGGATCTGTTTTCCACTTATCTTTTGTACTATTATCTTTCTTTTTGCGTTCAGTTCCATCTATGTCATAGAATTTGTCTACTAAGCCCATGTAACGTGGTGCGAGTGCTCTCAGGACATCGTAAAATTGTTCGACGGTATGATTCTTAGTCATGAGTTCTTCCACCAAATCTGGTTTTGCATAAATTTCCTCAAGAATCGAATCAAATCCATTCGTATAGTCTTCTTCTTCTTCGCATTTTTTACGCAATTCTTTTAGCTTTTTCGCGAAACCCTTGTAAACATCTTTTGGAAATGTCAGCATTTCTTTCATCTGATCCTTGTCAGCTCCATAGCATTCACTCCAAACATCACTTCCACCTAGACATGAAATTCATTTTTCGTGAAATATTCGAGAAAATTTCTTACCTCGTGGAAACATGGATGGAACACTGCCTAAAGCACGAAAAAATCTTGGAAATACGACAAGTTTGCCAATCACTTTTCCAAGAATATTTCTTCCAAGATCACCCAGTACTGCTGTATCTTTCATTTCACCCGAGAGAACAGCACTGAATGCTTTGGGTGTACCTAGGATAGGACCGCCGACATTTAGGAATGTTGCAACACTACAAGTGGACGAATGAGATTTTTTTGTTTGCGTCTACCAACGAGATTTCTATTCACTTTTCATCGATCCATTGCTCTCCCGCGTTTTCCGTAACCCATCGAAGAAAATAAAGAACGTAATTGGCTCCCATAGAATGTGTCAATAATGCTACTTTCTCGCCGTGTTTTTTCCTATCAAAGCATGAAATTAGAACTATATGCGAATAAAATACATTCAATTTACCGAAGAAATTCTGTGTAGAATTTTAATTGCGTAAAATAACCATCACGTTCTTCCAGTGCCTGTGGTGTTAATCTCCAGTCATACCCTAGTGTAACTAAATTCGTTGGATCGTAGCCAATATCCGCTAAATTTTCTATGACTTTGCTCCATAGCCAATAGCCTGGAAAGCTAACTATCCCGAAACAATAGTACATTGATTTGAGCAAAGATTTAGATTACATACACATAATCTGCAGCCGCCCAACCCAGCACGGGTCGCAGACAAATAGATTCAGGGTCATTCCTATTTAGATTATACGGTGATTAGCAACATAGACTGTACATTTCGTACCAAGTTGAAAGATTCAATGAAATGTGTTTGAGCCAACATTGATGATCTCGTCCGATGTTATTAACCATTTGCATTGATGTCCAAAATCGATGACGAAACTTCCCTTTCGCACATTCTGTTCCTCGCCATAGTTCCAAGCCAGTTGATATAATTCCTGGTATGATAACAATCGGCATGGATGGCTGTCGATATCGAGATAAACGTTGACCAGGCCGTAATTGAAATTCTTCCGATGTTAAATTGAATTTTTTCAGAATATTCTCGAAAGAATTTCGAATTTGAAGGGAATAGTCCGGCTTTAAATACATAATTAAATACATCGCACAAAAAAATAACAGTAGTTTACAACATAGATGTTTACAAAAGCATGAACGAATAAGAGATGGTGGTAGAGATGACTTCTTATCTGCATTATCTGAACTAATGTCAATTATATCCGGAGATTTATATGTGAAAGAAGACGCTAACCATTGCACTGCGGATTGGTTTGGTGCTGCGTCTTCTGATGGTGGTAGATTAGATTTCGTCGTTTTCTTCTTCTTGTGACGACGACGGCGAGTAGTTATATCCGCTGTTTGGGATAGTAATTCAGATGTTTCGTCCGTCATTACTCTAAACGAAAAGAAAAACAAAATAGGAGTAAGAGCGAAATATATTTTACAACTCTGGACCTAATATTACAAGCAAAAAATACGAAAGGAAAGAAAGAAAAACGGCATACATCAAACAAAATTTTATTTTATTTCCTAGGAATCTTTCGTGGTTGGTTGTATAATCGTGCAATCAATTGAATGTATGCATCTACCGAGCTACTTTCGCATTGATCATACTTAATGTGACAAAACTACTTTTTTGTAATGATTGATTTGTAATAAACAATCAATTTTGACCAACATAATCTACATGGACGAATACATGAGTATCCTGAATCACCTTTTTTCTTCTCTGACAATCATCGCGTTCGGCAAACGTGTACTACTTAAATTCATCGCAACCGAATAGAAAAAAGAAGACGGCAAATGAAAAATATTTTCACAAACAGATACAGAGTACGTCTTGAGAGTGACCAGTACACAAAGCTTGCAGTTCAGAATACGACGATGTAACGTGAAAAGTTTTTCTCTTCAATCTGGTGATAGTAAGTACAATTGAATCTTTTGTAAGATAATCAGAGATAACAAAATGACGCTGGATGTCAAGAACAGGTAAGTTGTTAGGATAAACGAAAGAAATTAGTTTTTCTATGTGAGTTCTAACTAAACAACTACTTTCATAGTTCCCAGGCAAACGTTGATGTCCATATGTACAAATCATGCAATTCATTCAAATGATTCATATTCGAAAATACTGTAATTTCGGTGCATTATTTGCTTTTACACTGTACTGACTGACTGACTGTTTGCCTTATGTATTTATTCATCAATTTAATTTTACATTTGCAAGCGAATGAGAACAACAATCTTTCTTCTCATTAGAAATAAAAGACAGGACGAAAAAAGAAGAAAAAGAAAAATAACTCTTTACTATGCATGTGCGCATGCATAATAGCGACAAATAGTGATAATATGTTACACAAAGCAACATACGCATTTTGACGACGGCTATGTGGTCCATCGAAAGTATTTAGAGACACAAACAGTACATGGTTATATATATACGTGTATATCTGCAAGAGAATGATAGTTTGAAGATAAATCAGTGAATCATTTTCTTCTTTTATATTTCAGATGGGAAATATTACACGCAAACACGGCGAACTTTATAAAACCCTAACTGAAGATGTATTGAATCGATGCTGTTCGGTGACTGGTTTCACTCCGGAAGTTATTCGAAAAGAACATGATAAATTTTTCGATGTGGCTGGAGATGGACGTCTGAAAAAAGAGTACATGGAAGAACTACTAGGTGACTATATGCCACAGGTGAGAGAAAAACGTCTGAAATATTTAACCAATTGCATATTTTCGGCGATCGACACGAACAATGATGGCTATATTGATTTCTTAGAATATTTAACGAGTATCAAATTCTTCCAGACCGAATCGCCGATTGAAAAAGCGGATTTCATATTTCGTATAATGGATAAGAATGGTGATCATCTGGTGACAAGAAAAGAAATCGCTCGTCTATTGGAATGTTTGGAAGATTATCATAAGAAATCGTCGAACAGCTCGATTACAAGTGTTATGAGTGGTGGTGTGAAACCAGCAGCGAATTTTGTTCTCGCAAAATTGGATGAAGACAAATCCGGACAAATTGGTGTGTCCGAATTCGTCGATGGATGGCTTAAAGACGAAACTATACGCACATTATTTACATTCTAATTATGTACAAAGAGAAACAGAAAAAGCTTTTTTGACAAAAAGTGTCATCTGTATTTTTTCCTTTTTTTTTCAATATAATAATCAGTTTCAAGCCTCTGTGCTTCGGATAACAAGCAAAGAAAACGAGAGAATATTTCATCAATACAACAAGAGAAAAAGACACAAAAAACGGAAAATATTTGACCAATGCAGTTCGTGTTTTCGACAAGAAAAGAAACGGTATCTCAAAAAAAAAACACTACAATTGAATACTATAATAGAACATAACAGTAAACCACGAAAAACTAGCAAAAAAATAAAATATCTTAACGCAGATCGAATGTAAAATTACGACGATTGATCGAAAATGGTGAATTCTCATTTTCATCATCGTAGAGACCAGTTGGTTCGAAACCAAAATTACGATGTAATTGCTGTGTACAAGTACGACGAATGCCGAGTGGTGGCGTCCAGCGCCAGTGATTCGGCCATTGAGCTCGACGTATGTAACTAGGAAAGTCTACCAAAATTGACATGAAAATACTGTAGATTTCGAGAGACAATGAACATACAATACGGTTCAGTAAGTTTGCATTCTTCGTCCCAATCTTCTTCAATAGAAGACGGCGATGATATGTCTGAAAAGAATATCAAAATATTATCCTTTCTACCGATTTCAGATCGGATTGTTTGGTTCTCATCGAATAGCAAGGAGAAGAATTCTCATGATATTTGATATATCGACAACGATGAAGAAGTCTCGGTACCATTTGTAAAACGTGTGACCTTAGGTTGATGATAATCAATTACTTAGGAATGCATGTCAATCCAAGAAGAAAATATTGCTTTGCCTCTAAAAACGATCGTATCCAAGCTAGGCTTTCATGTTTCTGCTCTCCAGAAACGCTGTAGCACATCGTTTGTCTCATAGGGTGTTCGACCTTGATCAACAAAAAACATGTTGCCATATGCAGATATTTCTTTGTGTTTGGTTTCTGAATGAATACTAACCATCGTCATACGGATTTCGTTTGAAATATGGCAAATAGGAAGATTTCGATGCGAGATATGTGCACTGTTGGTTAGGTTGATTAGAACAACTTTGTATTGGAGTATTGGACATTGTATTAAGTTTTTTTTCTTCTAAATCCATACTGATAAAGCCTTCATCATCGTTAATTAATGTATCTGTTGATTTCGTATTTGTATCGGACGTTGAACGACTGTACTTTTCTTCATTAGACTTAAAAAGAAAAAGAAATCTACATAAGAGTAAAAGCAAAGTGAGTTTGGAATTACACTAGGTGAACTATCTGTGTCACTCTCGATGCCTGATGAAGAAGTGATTGATGACATCGAAATCTAGAAATAAATAACCAGTCTTCGTTTTCTTCTTTCAAAACAGTTCGAATTATTGAAAATGTACAGAACATAAACAGAAAACAAGGAAGAAAATGTATTAAGACGAATCTTCGTCATCATGATCATCATCATCGTCAGCATAAGAAACAAGAGATTTCGTTGTTGCCGCTGTCGTCTTCGGAGTTGTTTCAGGCACCGATGAAGTTTTATCAACATTTCTGACAATACCGAATGCAGACGAGAGCTGCTTTTTGTTGCTAGTAAATGTCGACGGTGCCCAATTAATTTCTGATGAAGCTGATGATGTTCCTCTTAGAACTTGTTGTTGATCAATGTTTGCCCGTCGGTCACGATCTGTTTGTTCGACATCTAAAATTTAGTGAAGCAGAAGACATTGTTGTTGTTGTTGTTGTCGTCAGTTTCTCATTCATTCGTACTTCGAACAGGCTCAGATCGATAGAGTTTTGCTAATCGTTCATCTTGTCGACTGGAAGGCAGAAGAGGAATGTCAATCGATGCTTTCATCCGTACACGATCATCTTCTTCTTTTTGTAAACGTTCTTCACGTTTAGTTGCCTTAGAATACATATAGAATAGAAACAACACATCAAATATTCATCACCTACTCGTAACTCTTTTCTTAGAACATAATTAATAATATAATCATCTTTCCATGCCGATTGATGCATTTCAAGTTGATTTATATCAGGTGCTTCTGTACTTGTCTTCTTTGACACATCTCTTCCTTCATATTCCAATTTGAACATCGCATCAGTAGCTAATTTTTTCATTTCTTCTTTGGCTATAAATAAACATCAAGCTTAAGAGAACAGAGTTGCCGAAACTTACATTCCATGACGATTTGACCGTTTTCCGCTGCATCCCATCGCTGTTCTTCACGGCGAGCTCCACTAACAATCACATAATCGCGAGCCTAAACAAACGAGGAAAACCATTCTAGAATAACTCAGCAGCGGTATGATTGTTTCATTCAATCATTTTCTACCATCTTCCAAGACTCACTTTTGGATCAGTTTTGATCTCGAAATGTCCATCACACAGATGGCATTTCATTCGGAATTGAAATATCGGCGTCGTAAAATAGTTTCCAATCTTTGTCTTTTCGGCATTATAACGCACACCCATACCAATATGATTTCCACATGTATTACACCAGATATTGTATGGCATTTCGAATCTAATCAAATTCAATATATTGAAACAATTGCGATCGTTCACATTGTCCTACCGAATGATAAGGATACCGCGATCCAGTTTCCGTGCACGTTCACGGAGAGCATGAACACCTTGATAAGCATTTAACGATGAATGCTTTCGCCAGTCGAAATCTGGTGGATAGTATTTATTTTGGCCTTTGCGTTCACCCTAAAATCCAAGAGGGAAAGTATTGTTTAACAAACGAAATCAACGCAAATTAATTACCATTGCACAATTAACAGATGAACACTAAAACTTGAGAATGAAAGAAATTACATAAATAAAACAGATTCATTCATATGTCAAGAAAACGAAGAAGCGCCATCTATAGATCGATTTCATACGTTAATTATCGTGAAAAAGTCAAATAAAGAGATCGGAAAAATTGCAAGTTTTCTGAATTTATTCTGAGAAAATCCTTTTCTCTTATTGATTTATCGATTCTACTAATAAGAAGCATGCCAAATGACAGCTTGAATTGTGATTAGATCACGAATCTATCAGTAGAAATTTTTTGTTTATTTATTGTTTGAGAAAAAAAGCGACGCATGTTTTTGTATTGATTAAAATAAGAAAAACCGGAGGGGAGTTTTCTTGAACAATGCAGTCGTTGCACTATAACAGTGGCTCAATTAAACTAACCCGAGAACGCTGTACGATGGTCACACGTTGGGAAGCGAACGAAGTTGCAAGATGGATCGGAGGTTCGAATCACACCGAATTCGTTGAAATACTCACATTGTTGTTGTTTTTCTGTAATCTACGCAGGTCTCGCTAATATTCAAAGTGGTATAAGTGATATCTTTTGCGAGCATAACATTGATGGAGTCGCCTTAAGCTTACTACTTCGAGAAGATCTTATTCGAATGGGTATAACCAAACTTGATCAACAGCTGATCATCATGCAGTCAATTGACACACTGCTCACACTTGTATGTTAGACGGCGACGTTCTTCTCTCGAGTAGATCATGAATATCTTTCAGGTCAATCGGCTACGTAGCGAAACTCTTGCTGTACTTTTCATGCGTATCCATTGTACGGCAACAACATGTGTGAATCTGTTGAAACGTCAAGACGATAAAGATTCATCGAATGATAATAGCAATGTGATAAATTCACCTGAATGCTACACAGCAATTAGTAGTTTATCGGACGCAATCGTCACTGCTTGCCATTGGTTGGGAAGGTAGTGGATTCTATACTTAGATTTAAAAGTTGAATATTGATTTTATCTATTTTCGAATTAGATTGCCCTTTATTGAAAACATTGAATATATTGATTTACGACGAAAGATAATTAAAGTTTTAGTTCAGATACGAGTTCTAGTTCGTAATTTACGAGCTATTGACCAAATTAACATGCCCAAATCAAGATTAATCTTAGATGTATAAGCGTTCATTTTCTCTCTCTCTCTTTCTCAAGTGTCTACTAATGAATTCTAATCTAGATCGGCGAACTACGTACACTGGCGATTTCTCTTGTTCGTCAAAATAAAGATTCGCTATTCTCATCGGATTGCTATCTAACGAGAGTTCATTTACGACGCCCAATAAAAGATGATGTGGTAAGATTTGCAAGAAGTTTACATTGAAAGAAGTTTTGCTCACTGTATATTTAGAACATCGAATACACAACCATGCCTGATTATACTCATGTGATATCTAGTATTGAAACCGAGGTAAAATTAACATTTTATGAATAGATTTAGTAATAAATGCGAGTATCTTTTAGGCGGCGAGTTTTATGGGATCGGGTTTTAGTGCAATCAACATCGGCGATGAAATTATAGAAATTAATAATCAAGTTGTGGTAAGTAGATCGTCGTTGAAATATGCGATTTAGATGTACATCCAGCTATTCAACTATTATTAGGTAGAGATAGAGAGAGAGAAAGAATCCGAAGAATTTTGCGTCTCTAACCGACATGACATTTTTAAAATTAGACCTAAATTTATTCGATCTATACTATTCCATAGCACAAATCTGTTGTGTCGGGCATTGATATGCAAATTATAACCTTGTCTTGTATTTCAACAGATTGGTTGGGATCCAACGCATTTCAATGAATTACTTCGTACCTCGTCACATTCCAACGAAATATGTTTACTGGTCAAAAAGATGCCTCGACATAATGACGACGAAGTGTATACGAAACGCCTTGCTGATGGACCACAAAACCCTCGGCGATCACGAGCCCGTGGAGCACTTGAGCGAAGAAATCAGCAAACACAAGAAAATCGAACGATGCTATTGGAGGAAGATGGGTAATTATCACGATTTTTTAATGTGATTTCACCTTCAATTGATCTTTCTATCACCGTAGAATTGAAGAGGAAGAGCAGGTAGACTAATAATGTCTGTTGTCTAAATATTGAACTTTTTTCGCTCTGTTGTTCTATACTTTGTCTAAATGTTGTATTACTTTGTTAAATAATCGAGCGAATACTTTGAATATTCTATTTATTTAGGGAGATTGAAGTTGAAAGTGATGATGAAACGTTGTATCAAAGCAAACGATCATCACAAATTAAACGTGATCAGCATACATCGCTACCTGATCTTTCGGAATCATTGGCTAATGATAGTAACACTTCTTATAACAACAGTGAAACTTCAAATCATACAATACCATCATCAATCAATTCATCTGTTTCAACAATGGCATTAACATCACCTACCTCTCCAACACGGTCCGATTCGAAACAAATTGATACGAATCATGAACGAACACAATCGATCGGTGCCAGTACAGGACAGCCATCATCCCCCAACGCCACACCAAAGAGTCCACGAAAAACAGTAAGAAAACTGACATCCACACTGTGTTCGTCACATCACTTCCATCTTTTTCTCAGGGTTTTGAATCGTACCTTACAACGATATTTCGTCCACGACAAGACACTAAATCTGTCATTGCTGACATGAATGATCACACAAATAAAGACCATCCACAATTAGTAAACGTCAGACGTATTCATTCCATACACAAACAAAGTTCTTCCACATCACTGCATGATGATCAAATATCATCGTCGCCAACACCGGATAAAAGTGGTAGTCAAAGCAGTTTACAAACATCATCATCGACACGTTCATCACTTTCAAGCATATTTCGAGTAAACTTCACAACATTCCATTCGCTCATCGTTGTTCGCTGTTCTATTTAGTCATGTGATCAGTCTGATAAGAATCGTCGCAAACGATCGAATGATGATACGAGCAAGAACATGACGTAAGTTACAAATCTGTTCAAGATTCGTCTATGAATGCTTTTGTTGTTGCTTCATAGATTCCGTAACGAGATGAAAATGGAATTTTGTTCCATCTTCTACAACAATAATAATCCCCCTGTAGTAACAAACAAACCACCCTTAAATCACAGTGACAGTCGAAAGGTTAGTTGAAGATTTGTCGTCAAATTATGATCATATTATTTTCTATATAGAGTTCAGGCTCGATCGAACGGCGTCATCCAAAACGCACATGTAAGTAATATCGTCTGAACTTTCTACCATAAAGATTAATACCACTAACGAAACATTTCTAGTAAGCATTTAAAAGAGAACTATGTTATAGGTAATTTGCGAGGCACGGATATCGTTTCGGGTGAATAGAGGAAATTGGGGAGGCTGTAGAAGTGGATAGGATTCGGTGATTATTAGTTATGAATGTGTTTATTTTAGCTTCATACAAAACAATTTCATGTAAAGATTTGGGTAAAGGTGATTGTGAAGGGCTTTTATATCGTTATTGTGGGAAAGCTGCTTTACCTTTTGCGCAATGGAAACTTTGTTGGTGTGTACTAAAAGGTGGTACCCTATATGTATTCAAATCTCAAGACGTAAGTTAAACATTGTTGAGACGAACTGACGAACACATGTGTTGTATTCAGGATAAAAATCAAGAAATCGAAATAAAGCTCGAAGGAAAAAATGTTTCACCAGCACCGGAAAAGAGAAAATAGTAAGTACTAAGAAAAAAGACATTTTTTTCCTTTGTTTAATGAATTCATCGGTAATTTGTATCTGTTAAGTGCATTTCGTATTGCCGACGAAAGTAGCAAAGATCGTGAATATTTCCATTGTAAATCACGTGATGAAATGGCCAAATGGATGAACAAAATGGGTTTAGCAGCGATTAACTTCAATATTGATGACTCAAAGATCGCTGGTTTCAATAAAGGTTTCGTTGATTCCCGAGAAGGATCACCGGCGACGACGCCAGTCATTGGTTCACATTCAACCTCGAAACTAAAGCTATCACGAACGAAACAAATCAGCTCAATTGGGGATAGCGGAAATGATTCCGATAAGGAATCCTATGCATCATGGCAAAAATCTGCATCACATCATAGTAGTATATCCGATATTATGTCAACGAAAGAAAAAGTGAGTACTGTTCTCACTGAAATACAAACTATTTTCGATTTTTACTATTTACAGAGTTTGCCAACAAACGATACACTAACGAAAGATTCAGCGCCTTCTCGTCACATACGATCAGCATCGTCGACATCCATACTATCATTGCCTGGCACGAATACGAATTTCTTGAAACCAACTGATAACAATCCGGTCAATACGGCGAAGGTCCTGTCGAGCAAAGGACATCATCGAACGTGTAGTTCACCGATACGATTTCCACCAGCATATGAAGAGGATCATGAAAATGCCTATGTTAATGCAGCACCACGATTTTCGGATTCGGATTCATCATGTGAACCTCCACATCAACGTGTATTCGTTAACAGCCAACTTTTAACTAACAATCATAAGCAAGAAGTAAGATACATGAACCATAAAGCAAATCTTTGAAAATTGTTTTGCTTTTGGAACATGTTTACAACGTTTCTCGTTCGTTTTTAGGGTCATCAATCATCAAAAAGTCATCGCCCATTAATGCTCAACTCCTCAGGTGGCTTCTCCACTCCCACAGCTGCACTATCTTCCACATCCAGTGATAAAACTCCGTCGTTTTCTCCATCACTAAGCAGATCATCATCTCAACTACCTTCAGAGAACAGTATTTTTCTTCTTGGCGACGAAGAACTCTCCTTGTCATCATCTCGATCCGCAAGCTACTGTTATGATCGACCCAATTCATTCTCTGAAGATCCGTTATCACCCGTTTCTCGTCCCGAGTTGTTCTTACCAACACCCAGTTACTCCGGATCTCAAGAAAATTCGCCTGCTGTTACTCATACTCCTCCTATGTATATATCCGTACATCCATCGTCCTCACCCATTCCCGTAACAAAGAGTACTCTTCCAGTATCGAAATCTCCACAGAACGATGACGATTCATTGTTTTCGCGTCGCTCTCCAGCGTCATCCTACAAAACGAGCGAACAGCTAAGTCATTCCTCAAAACATATTCTTACTTCATCAATGCATCAGCTTCCAAATTCCAATGCACGACAAGGACAACATTCGCTTTCATCATCGTTGTCCGGAACTTATAAAAGTCACACTTTTCTACCTGTATCACCTGATGAAGAACAAAATTGATAATCTTTTCTTTCGTCAATTTCCATTGCTCATCTGTCTTATTGTTTTGTTTTGTTCTCTAGCAATAAGTTTGTTTTTCTAAACTAAGAAACCGGTTTTCTTCAAATGTTCTATTTAATTTTTATATCATAATAAATGAAATTTTAATTCCTATTTCAAGCACATTAATCCATTCATCGTTTCTTCAGAAATATCATATCCATTCAAAATGATTAGACAAAGGATGCTCTCCTTCTGCATCAATCGAATATCTATCAACGACCATAGTGACTCGTGTGAAATTTCATTCTAATCAGCAACATGGCAAGCATAGTCGTGAGTAACATTTCACAAGCACTGCGGTTTCGTATTCTTTGCTTCAAGGAACGTGATCATTCCAAGATGCGATTCAATGCCTCGTCCATGGTATTTTTTCGTTTTCTTCTACAAGTCCTCGTAATCTGGTGTGTTATCTATTTGCTCAATCATCTCTGCTTGGTAAGTAGTTTGCGTTTCGAAGATGTCTCAATCAAGATGTTCTTTTAAATTGTTCTAGCGTTTCCAAGCAACGAAGCGGCCCTACATTCGTTTACTCAGATCGTTAGGTTGTCATGTCTCGATATTTAACATCGGATTCTATACAACATCGTTTAATCGTGCGTTCTATCGAATCGGAACAAGCAATGCTCGTCTATGGAAAATCTGGTTTACCATAGGCATACTTGTAGCTTTCGGAACAGCTGTCACGGCTTGTTTTACATTGCTCGTTTTACCAATGAAATATATCTATGAATTGCAAAGAAGAATGCCATCAAAATTCGAACTATCATTGAATACAAATGGTGGCACGCAGTCATTGCTTGAAAATGCAAGTCATCAAAACGAAGCAGTCGAAGATGATCGCGATAAATTATTGATACAACCTATTGTTCGTATCATGAAATGATCAAAATTCGAAAATGTGACACGATTTTATTTAGATTCCTGGCATTAATGTGCCACTAGAACAGATTCCACATTTCTTCTTAGCGTTACTTCTGTGTACTATATTTCATGAGTTTGGCCATGCTGTTGCAGCCTCAGCGTTCGTATCGAATTTGGATTGTACTCAGTTTATGCGAAATGTTCTACTCTAGTGAACAAATTCGTGTAAATGGTTGCGGGTATTTTTTATTTCTTGTGTATCCAGGTGCGTATGTTGATCTACATCAAGAACAATTACAAATGATATCTGCTGTAAGACAATTGAGGTAGTTCACATATTTCCTATCGAACACCGATCAATTAGTTTTTGTTCTATTTCGAAAATAGAATTTATTGTGCTGGTGTTTTTCATAATATGGTTTTAGTTCTTATCGCTCTTATTTTCCTTCTCCTCAATCCGATTTTTCTTCGATATTTTTACACAGAAGCAGCGACTGTCTACCGTGTATCGAAAGTAATGTTCACTTCAGAAAATAACTTCGCTTCATACGTACTTCACCCGATTTATTTGTAGGATTCACCGATACGCGATCTTCTACCTATTCATTCGATAATTCAAGCCATTGATGCATGTCATGTGAATACATCTAAAGATTGGTATCAATGTTTACGCACGATCAATGATCGAACTCCGCAGCAAAGTAGTGGGTACTGTTTAACTCAAACTGAAATACAACTTCATTCAAGTCATATTGGTAAGACTCGCACGTAATTGTAATCTGTTGTCCACACTGAGTTCTTCTTTGGGGGGGGGGGGGGGGGGTGAGGGGGTGCGTGAAGAGGACTTCAATAAAAAAGGGTGGGCATCTGAT